ATGTCTCATCTGAAGGATGGTACCTCCGACAAAATGGAAGGACCAAGGTGGCATTTTGACAAGGGGACAAAGCCAGGAAAGGAACTGTCAGAATGCTCAATGCACCTGGAGGGAAGGTGGCAAAGTGGCTTCGCGCAGGTGAGGAGACGTGAGGCTAAGGACCGTTTTCAAAGCAGAAAATTCAGACAAAATGAACAAGCATCTATTTTGCGGAAAGGGAGAATGCTTCCAATCGCCATCTGCTGGCCAGACAAGACTCGTTCCAGAGCAGAGCATATTCTGACGCCGCAGAGCCACACCAGGCCTCAACATCAGCAACGGCTCCGAGTCGGGCTTCGACGAAAGACATACAGCAGCCCGAGCCAACAATTGGGAGATGACTTGGCAGATGTGGATGATCAGACAACCAAAAAAACAGCGAAGGCCATCACCGTACCAAGTCCCTACTTCCCAAGTGTTTCTGGAATCCTGTAGCTCAGTGGTTAAGAGTGTTTGCCTCGCAAGCGGGAGGACTCGGGTTCGATTCCCGGCCAGAACAAAACCTTAGGCAAGTCTCCTTACTCCGCACGCTTCAGCTTACCGAGCAGTAGGTACCCAGGAACCCGGTCGTTAGTCGATTGGCGGATCGCTTTCCTGGAGTAATAATCCCTTCATGTTCAATCCGCGGCTGTTTGTGGGACACCGCTGTGCACAAGTGGCTGCCGCATTTCACCCACAAAATACACAGGAAATATAGCATATTCTACGAAGCGCTTTGAGACGCCTCAAATGCGAGGCTTATTATTATTATTATTATTATTTTGCAATTACCTGGAACTGCATCCTGTGTCATGGCATCCAATGTAACACCCAACAAACGGTTCAGCATTATTAAACCCTGATAGCCTGCATGTAGCTGATAATCTTCCATTCATTAGCAGTCCGGAACCGCAATTACTGCTAATCTCAGTTACTGATTTACTTTGGAGTCAGAAATCAAGCGGTTTTACGACGTGCTTTACCTTGAAGGGTTTACCTTGAAGAGACATTGCTGCAGTAACACAGCAGAGAACTGTTAGCTCTCTGACAAGCCCCACGCCCTCTTTGACTTTCCTGCTTGACGGACGTGCGGTCTCACCCGGTAGCGTTTCGCTCACCGTAATCGCTGCCGTCGATGACTTGGCTGAAAATATCCTAAATACAAGGAAAAAGCATCAACCAGAAGCGACCGAGTTAGCTCGTGTTAAGCGTGCCAGCCTGGCTCGATTGGTAGCACTCTCTCACCTTTGCTGTGTCTGTGCCAAGTTCCTACTTACACACCGCTAGGTAAACAGAAACTTGCCTAAGGTGTCGCCCCTTCGCCCTTCGCCCGCCCGGGAATCGAACCCGGGTCCTCTCGACAGTAAAACGTGAAGACCCTATTTGGGACGCTTACCTTGCGTGAGGGGGTGGTGTGTGTGCATGCGTGTGCGCGCGCGTGTGGGGATGGAGCAGAGGGGGGGGTGTGGATATAAATAGATTCATAGAATGTTACGGCACAGAAGGAGGCCATTCGGCCCATCGAGTCTGTGCGGCTCTTTGACAGAGCGTCACTTTCACTGACCCCAATCACCAGCGTTCTCCCCATAACCCCACAAACCCGTCTTCCCCCGATACCTGTCCAGTTCTCTCTTAAAAGCAGTTATCGAGTCGGACTTCACTGCCCTTTCGGGCGGATCATTCCAAATCCCAACAACTCGCTGAGTGAAAACATTTCTTCTAACCCTAACCTCCCCTCTGCTTCTTTTGGTAGATATCTTCAGACTGTGACCGCGGGTCACACACACACCGACCAGCGGACACAGCTTCTCCCTATCTCGTCTGTCGAAACCTTTCATGATCCTGAAGACCTCGATCAGGTCCTAACTTCTCCCGCCTGTCCTCGTAGCCGATGCAAAGTTGTCGCCGCCGCGATCGTCGGAGGGTAGCCGTCCCCCGGCCCCGAACAGTGGGGCGGAGGGTCCTTTTCCTCCTCGGGTCCCGAGCATCTCCTGAATTGCCCAACAATTCCCCCACACCCCCCCCCCCACCCCCAAATAAATTGGCTTCTCCAATGCTACAGGGGGCAGCACCCGTAGTCCAAGTCGAGGAGGAAAGCTCTTGGGTTGTTGGAAGCTCCTCGGTTTGGAGGGTGAGTAAAAAAAAAAGGAGAAGATTTAACCGGGCGTTGGACTTTGGTGTTTTGGTTCAACGTTTCACTTTCGCTGCTTCGAGGGCTTGGGAATCTGTCAACGGACGTCTCGGGGAGGGAGGGAGCGAGGGAGGGGGGGAGCGAAGGGAGCGAAGGGAGAGAGAGATGAACTTGTTACCAGAAGCGATCAAGTGGACACATTGTGAGTTGTGGCAACAACTTTGCGCAGCGAAATGACAAGCGAAGGAGAGAAGTGTCACTTCCACGGCAAAATATTACGGTGGCGAACATGTAACTTGTTTTTTTTTTCTCCTTTCCATTCTTTCGCCCCCCCATCCCCCCCCCCACCCCACCCCCCCCCCCCACTTTAAAGTGTGGCTCTCTTGGCAAAGTTTTTCTTTCGACGCCGTATTCCTATTTATGTTTCGTGGCTTTTCAAAGCTTTTTGGTTTTAAAAAAAAATGTTCCATTTTCCTGGTGAGTTTAACTCGGGGAGTCCAGATTTTTTTTTTCTCTCTTGGAAGTCCACCGACCCCCCCCCCCCCCCCCCCCATACCTCCCACCCCACCCCACCCCGCCCGGTTGGGGGGGGGTGGGTTTGAGTTGTAATAACGCTTGGGTTGGTGTTGTCGCAATAATGATATGATATAGCAATAATGCAGTCGAGAAGAATACGCGTTCGATGGGGGTGGGGGGTGAGGGTCGGGGGGGTGGGGGTGGGGGTGGGGTGGGGGGGGTGACGCCTTATCACGCTTTCGAGACGTCTCAGAGCGCTTCGCAGAATATACCGCGAAGCGAATCGAGTGCGGGGTTTTGCTGAGCGAAACGTGGCGACCGATTGCTCAACAACAGAGTTCGGAGAGGAGTCAGAACTTGTCCTGAAACTCCAGCTCCTGACACGCACACACACGCACACGCGCACACACATACACACACACACACGCACACACGCGCACACACACATACACACACACACACGCACACACACACACACACACACACGCACACATTAATTGCTTCACCTCTTTCTCAATTTGTTTTGGACTGTGATCTTTCACCCGGAGTCATTATTTCACAAGCAATTTCATCCCCGGTGAATGTACTACGTGTTAATACCGTGAGTGTGTGCGTGCGTGCGTGCGTGTGCGCGCGTGAGTGTGCGCGCGTGAGTGTGTGCATGAGTGTGTGTGTATACGTGAGTGGGTGCGCGCGCGTGACTGTGTGCGCGTGAGTGTGTGTGTGCGTGCGTGTGCATGAGTGTGTGTGGTTGAGTTTGTGTGTGCGCGTGAGTGTGTGTGCGCGCGCGTGAGTGAGCGTGTACGCGTGAGTGTGTGTGTGTGATTGAGTCTGTGTGTGCGCGCGTGAGTGTGTGCCCGCGCGTGAGTGAGCGTGTGCGCGTGAGTGTGTGTGTGTGTGTGTGTGTGATTGAGTTTGTGTGGGTGCGTGAGTGTGTGCGCGTGAGTGTGTGTTCGTGCGTGTTCGTGTGCGCGCGGGCGTGCGTTCGTGTGCGTGTGCTGCGGACTTCGGGAAAACGTTATCAAGAAAAAGCCGAGTCCTAATCTTGTCCTGATTTGTTTGCACTGCTTACAAATAAAACATAAACGCCTATAAAAAAAAATTGTCGGCGGCGAAAGGTTAAGCTTTCTCTCCTCCCCCACAGCCCTCACGCGCTGCTCCGCTTCTCACTCTCACAGACTCATACAGCGCAGAAGGAGGCCACACCGGCCATTCCCTCCCCCTGCTCTTTCCCAATAATTTTCCATTCTTTTCAAGTGAATTAAGTACCCGATTCCCCTTTGAAAGTCATCACTGAATCTGCTCCCAACACCCTTTCGGGCAGCGCTTTCCTGATCGTAGCAAATCGCTGCGTAAAATTTCCCGCTGCCAACTTTTGCTAATTATCTTGAATCTTTTTATGCTTTCTCTTGGTTATTCCCCCCTCCCACCCCCCCGCCCGCCCGCCCACCCGCCCCTCTCCCACCACCGCCCCACCCTGCCTCTGCCTATCACTTTGCAACAGAAAGCTTCCAGATTCGCATTCGCACCTGTGGCAGCGCGAGTCCACGTAGGTAGCGACACACTGGAGGGATCGCCCCGCGATGCACGGTTAAGAACCCCTCGCCTTCGCTCATAGCCGCTCATCGCGTCGTCGAGACGCCTCAAAGCGCTTGGCGGAACGTACTGCGAAGCGAATCGGCTCTCATGTTTTGCGGGCTAATTGCAAGCCAGTTGCGCACAGCAGCGTCCCCCACAAGCAGTGATGGAGTGACCAAATTATTACTGTGTGGGCACGGTCAGAGGGGAAGGTGTTCGGGCGTGAAACGTTTCTTCTCATTAGAACGCGTCACAGCATCCGCTCCCGTTCTCCTCCTGAATATACAGCACCGGTCCACGTTTCTGCACATCCTATACTGTTCCTTGAGTTACCGTCTTTGATAATCGTGTTAGTTCGAGACCCGCTCACCTCTTGTATCTCTCCTTCTTTAAGAAATATTGTCTGCCGTGTCCATCCTTTTTGCGGAGTCCCGCAGCTCGGTGGTTAGAGCCTCTCGCCCTCGCAAGCGAAAGGACCCGGGTTCGATTCCCGGGCAGGACAACACCTTAGGCAAGTTTCCTCACTCCACACACACACACGCGCGCACGCACGCACGCACGCACGCACACGCCTGTTTACCCGGCAGTAAGTTGTTAGTTTATTGACAGATCACTTCCCGGGGATAATAATCCTTTCTAAAAAAAAAGAGAAGAAATTTATCCACTGCGTTTTGCACGCGGTTATACCGTCAACAGACACACTATATATGTTCTGCGAAGCGCTTTGAGACCTCTCAACGACGTGATAAGGCGCGACATCGAATGCGAGGATTATTATTATTAATATTATTATCATTATCGTCAATCTGAGTCCTCCCTTTGAAGCCGGATCCTTTTCAATTGTCCAAACGAACCAGTTGCTGGATTTTTATAGCTTTCTCCCATATTCTAGAACCCAGTGATTTTGAACACCAACTCTCTAGCCTTCCAGCTAACTGGCGCTGAAAAGCAGCGGCGGGATTCATGTTTCGCGTCTCCGCACGTCCGCTGATCCATGGGGTACTAACATGCCAGCTCGTGCCAACCCCCCTCGATCGGTGAGTGAGTCTACGATCTTGAGTGGGCGGCCTCGCGGTGGAGATAATAATAAAAATAATAATAATAATAATAATAATAATAATCGTCATCCTTACATTTGATCCAGCGCCTCATCGCATCACCTCGTTGAGCTGTCTCGAAGCGCTTCACAGAATTCACTGTGAAGCGGAGTAACTGTATACCGTGTGGCCGGAACGTGGCAGCCACTTGCGCACGGCAGCGGTCCCCACAGAACAGCCGTGGAGTGAATGAACACACACATTTTTAAAAGGGTTTATCGCCCCCCCCGGGAAAAGCGCTCCGCCAATTTTCTGGGTTCCTGCACACTGCTCGGTGAAACCGAGGGCCTGAGGAGCAAAGGAGACTCACCTAAGGTTTCTCTCCGACTGGGAATCAAACCCAGGTCCTCTGAAAATATATTTGTCGCTCAATCCGCGACTGTTTGTGGGACATCGCCAAGTGCAATTGGCTGCCGTGTTTCACCCACAAAACACGCAGTGCGTTCTCCGAAGGGGCTTTGAGACGTCTCGACGACGCCATAAGGCACCACCTCCAATGCAAGGTTTACTAATTATAATTTACTAATTATGTTTCAATAGCAAATTGAGTGGCTATGAAACGGCAGGATGGGGTATCAGATTGCCGTGTCTTTAATATCCTATTACCTGAGAAGGTATGCGCGATAAAATGAGTCCCAGAGGCTTTCACTGCCTGGTGTGAATTTTGCCCTCGGACTTTTGTCAAAACCTAATGAATGGCAATTTATACCACACTTGTCGGTACATTAAAAGTGCACTGAATCAGCACAGGCTGCACACGATTACCAGGGTGGGTTCCTGTGTCTTGTTTTAAAAACAAATCAGATTTTTTTTGCATTAAAAAAGAGATAATCATCCTCGCATTCGATGCAGCATCGCTGGGAATAAGGGAATCCTCCCGCTCAGCTCCTCTTAACTCTGCAAGCCCAAATCTTGCGCAAGTTTCCTTGCGCCACACACACCCGGCAATAAATCCCTCCAGACAAAAAAATAAACGAATAATAATTTGGTCGCTCGATCCACGACTGGTCGTGGGGAGGGACGCTGCGGTGCGCAATTGGCTGCCGCGTTTCACCCACAAAACGTACAGCAGCCGCTGCGAAGCGCTTCGAGACGCCACCCTGTACGTTAGGGCTCCGGCTGGGCAATAGCCGACGAGAAGCAAATCCTTCATTTTTGCGAACGGGCGTTACTTTCCAGAACTTTCTGCGGCATCTGAGCAGCGTGCTGGGCTGGGAAGGAACATGGTGGCCAGCCGTCAGATGTCTGTCTGAGCAATACCTGGATGTGACTGCATCGAGCAGGATTATGGACATAGGGCTATCGGCGTGGCGGCAACTCCCCCAGTGCGGACCGGCCCCAGAAGAACGTTGTAAACACGCTTGTTGCGTCTTCAAAGGATACATGTACCTCTTCGGGGGTCGAAGGCAAAACGGGCTGAAGGACTTTTGGAGGTACAGCGTTGGTAAGAAGTTATCATTATTCTACATTATTACACAATATAGTATAATTTTTAATATTATAATTAATAATAATGTGTCTTTAATATACCTGTTTCCCGATAAGTGTATGTGTGACAATAGAATTATAAGAATTATGTAAGGCAGCCAATTGCACTTGGCAATGTCCCACAACCACAACAATACGTTAATAATATTAGAATTGTTTCATTCATATATAATTAATGAATTATATCAGGTAGGAAGCTATTGCTTTTTCTTTGAATTCGTGTCTCCGGTTCCCTCTTAGCGCCTACAAAAATACACAGTCAATTCACTGGTGCTGGATCGATTGAAAGGATTATTATTATTATTATTATTATCCCGTCAGGAAGCTGTCTCGGACAGTACGCTTATGCAGTGTTGAGTGATCGATGGAGGGCGGGGAGAAAATGCTCAGTCATTCTCAGTCACGCAGATTCTGTCTTTTATTAAGCAATCCAAGACACTGAGACGTTAAGCGTGCAAGTCGTTGTTTGTCGTCCGTAAGGACACGTGGGAATGTTTATTTGTCTATTTTCCCCATTTGCGAGGTTCCCGTAGAGCCTTGAAGTCACCTGTTACACGACGACGACCACCAATGACGTTTGCACAGCGTCTTTCAGGTCGGGAGGACGTTGGACGGTCAAGGATTTGCACCCGAGCATTTCGATTGAGTGAAATTAATTTGTTGAGTGATCGATTTTTTTGAAAGGATTATTATTACCGCCCCCCCCCGAAAAAGCAATCCGCAAGCTTCCTACTCGCTGTTAGGTAAACAGAGGCGTGTGCGTGGAGCAAGGGAAACTTGCCCAAGGTTTCGTTCGCCCTGCCCGTCCGGGAATCGAACCCGAATCGGTCCTCTTGCTTGCTTGGCGAGCGACTCTAACCGACGAGGTATAAAGCCGTGTAAAGCCAAGGCGGTGTCGAACCCAGGACGCGGTCGCTGTAGCTCGGATTAAACGAACCCCTCACAAACAGAGTTAGCTCAGAAATATGGTTCATTTGACACTTGCGGCAAGGAGACGGGAAGCGAGAGGCAACACAATAGCACGTCTCTCAGAAGAGTGGGCGCTCTCCCTCGACCAACGGGGGCAGTCCCATCCGTTTATATACGTATAAACGAGCACCTCATGTCTCAAAACAATTCTTGCTGTTGATTGACGAGCAATATTCAGTCGTCACAAGTTTAATTATAGTGGAGTCCTGTAGCTCAGTGGTTAGAGCACTCGCTTTGCAAGTGAGAGACCTGAGTTCAATTCCAGGCAGAGGGCCAAACCTTGGGCAAGTTTCCTTACTCCACACAGAGCCTAATAATAATCCCTCCAAAACCCAAAACAATAATAAATTGGTCATTTTCAATCTACGACTGTTTGTGGGACATTGCTGTGCGCAATTGGCTGCCGCGTTCGCCCACAAATAGACAGTCAACTCACTTTACAGTGTGTTCTGTGAAGCGCTTTGGGACGTCCTCCCAATGTGAAAAGCGCTATATCAAATGCAAGGATTATTATTATTATACATTGGCAGACAGGACAGGACAAGGGCACTGGTTCTGCTCCAGTTTATCTACATTGTTGCTTGAAAAACAACTTTAATCTTATCGTCGTCTAGACGCTCTGTACTTTTCGTATTTTAGTCCTTTTAATTCCCGCAGCGGGAGGGGAAAAGATGACCAAAGTCGCGGTCAAAGAGGTCTATTTTAGAACGGGCCTTGAACCAGGAGAAGGGACCCAGCGAGAGAATCGTCAGTCACGTCAATCAATCAATGATGGCTCTTTATGCCTTTCAGTTCAGAATAAATGGGAAAAATTGGATCAGGCAGAAGGCACTGCCCCTGAAGAACTAGAAGAGCCCTCACTGGTGGCACACGAGGTAAGAACGGAGTAAATAATGATAATAATAATCCTCGCATTTGGCACAGCGCCTCATCCCGTCTGCGAGACGTCTCAAAGCGCTTCACAGAATATGCTGTAAAGTGAAGTATTTGTGGACGAAACGCGGCGGCCGATTGCGCACAGCAGCGTCCCCGCAAACAGCCGTGGATTGAGCGCGTAAATCTGGAAAGCACCTCCAGTCGTGGGGTTTGGAAGCGTTTAGTGGCTTTAGTTTTGAGCTGCTTATTGCCCGAGGGCGTGTGTGCACCCGGGCAGAGGCAGGATGTGGTTTTGAGCCTGTGATGGCCAGTTGTGATCTCAACTTGATGTCACGCCCTCGGTCGGCACCTCCAAGCAGAGCCCACCGACTTCCTCTGGTTCAAAGAAAGCCTCACGCTGACCCTGAGAGCAAACTCCTCGTCCTGCCCTTGGATGAGCGCATCCCCGGATCTGCTGTTCACTGGATCGAAGTAACAGGGTATCACATATATACCGGATCCGTCAATGCTTAACAGTCGAATTGTTTAGAGCTGTTTTATCGGTGTTTATATCCCTGCTCGGTCAGATTGTCGTCAGGTGCAAAAGGTGCAGAAACGTTGTGAAACGGGGTCTCGAAGCGCAGCCTTGCACCTCGCAAAGCATTCGCGTCGTCGAATGAGCCAGCTGGGACCGCAGGACCTATTAGGGCTTTGCCTTGCATCCGTTTCACCCCGAGAGAGTTCTCTGACCCGAGTGCCTTTCCCCACCTCCGCTTCACACACCACCCCCCCCCCCGCCCCACCCTTTCCGTCCCCTCCTCCCCGGATTTTTTTTTCTTTTTTAGCAGCAATTGCGATTTCTGTTTTCTCAGTCTCGAGAGCGCGAATTGACTGATTGCGTCTCCAGAGACACAAACCCAGAACCTGCCGTAACAGAGTGTTTGAGCTGAATCGATCGAGCTGTCTGTTAGACGCTGCGTAGATGAGTATTGTTTGTGCGCTCGATATAGCACCTCGCTCGGAGGTCTTAAAGCGCTTCGCAGAATACACCGCAAAGCGGATCGACTGTACACTTTGTGGGCGAACGCGCGGCAGCCAATTGCTCGCAGCAGTCTCCCACAGTCGTGGATTGAGCGACCAATTATTATTCTTTGTTTCGGAGGGATTATTTCCCACGGAAAAGCGACCTGCCAATCGATTTAGCAACCGGGTTCCCACTTACTGCTAGGTAAACAGAGGTATATATGTGTGGAGTGAGGAAAACTGCCGATGGTTTCGACCCGCCCCGGGGAATCGAACCCGGGTCCTCTCGCTTGTGAGGCGAGCGCTCTAAGCCAACACGCTACAGGAATCCCAGGTCCTTACCCTGATTTACGTTCAACCGCTCTGTCTTTGCAGGGCGTCCTCTACGTGTTTGGTGGGATGATGGATTCTGCCTACACCCAAGGAAAGACCCCTCTCTGGATGTACGACATTGGTAAAAATCCTATATCGAGAGCATTAACAAAAGCGTAGCGTAAAGTGGCAAAAGAACTAGAGGGGAGGACGAAGAGAATTTCCCCTCACGCAGCCAGTTGTTATGATCTGGAGCACACTGCCCGAAAGGGGCGGTGGCGGAAGCAGATTCATTAATAACCTTCGAGAGAGAATCGGATATTTATACTTGGAATACTTGAGTAGCGTTCTAACCGCTTGACGCAAAAACAATTTGACAAGATTCTTTGCTCTTAACCCTTATTTCGTCGATGTATTTTGCGACTGCTCACCGAAGGGCGTTTCTCTGTGCGTTCTGGAGGGGCGCCGGATCCCGTTTAACGGCGAAACGTAATTAAAGGAAAAAGGAACGAGCATAGGTCTTTCTTTGGGCTCTTTGCGTAATTGAACGGCTTAATTTGTTCGCAGAATCAGAAAAGGAACGGGGTCCGGAGACCTCTTGTGGCCCTAAAGGCAACCACAGCTGACGTTGACGACGTGAAACGTCGGCAGAGAAATTCCACCCGTGCCTTAAGGTGGACGGAGCATTTCAAAGTGTCCAGAAGTTGGCAATGGGGCTTTTAATTTTAGAGCTAGTTTGCTGTTAAGTTCTTTTAAGTTACGGCTGAGCAGTGAGAGGGCGAGATCAGATGGGACCAAATGCCTTCTTCGTCCAGACTGATGTCGCGATCTTGTAAGCTCAACAATTTGCTAAACTCTGGGCACTCTAAATGGACCCCCATCGTACCCACGGGTGGAATTTGCCCCCACTTCACCACGTGTTTGACAGGCAGCGAGACGATAACGATGCTTACGTCTGATACAGAAGTTCAAGGGGAGATTCAACGGAGGCGTCCCAACAAAAAAAAATGAGGGGTTTCGATAGGGTAAAATCAGGAGAGACTGTTACCTCTGGCGGGTGGGTCGGTAACCGGAGGACACAGATTTGAGATAACTGGCAGAAGAACCAGAGCGGGGACGAGGAGACTTTTTTTTTATAAACGCAGAGCGTCTGGAACGCACAGCCCGAACGGGCGGTGGAAACAGATTCGATAGTAGCTTAATAATAACAATATTAATAATAATCCTTGCATTTTCACGTCTTCCAGACGTCTCAAAGCGCTTCACGGACTATACTGTACTTATATAATGTACTTATATAACCCTAACCCTAACGTATAATATAAAGAAACATGTGCAGGATTATGGGGTCAGAGCGGAGGAAGAGGGACTAGTTGGTAGATCTTTTCAAAGAGCCGGTACAGGCCGGACGGGCCGAATGGCCTCCTTCTGTGCTGTACGATTGTATATTGCGCCTTTCACGTCGGGAGGACGTCTCAAAGCGCTTCGCAGGACATACTGTAAACCGTAATGACTGTATTGTGTAGGTGCAAGCAGATGGACACACTGGCACAAGTTATCCTCAACTGACACAGAGGTAAGGAATTTTACTCACTCCACGCAATCTCGAATTTCCTTACGTCAATCTTCGGAGCTGGGCAAAAACGCCGTTAAACTTCAATTGGAGTAGTGGCTTAGGCAGTATTTGACTGGATGCCTTTTCAACCAAGAGAGCAATAATAATAATAATAATAATAATTATAATTATAATAATAATCCTCGCATTTGATATGGCGCCTTATCACGTTTTCAAGACGTCTCAAAGCGCTTCACGGATAATACTTTTGTTCATTTCAAGAAACAGGCGCCCATTAACAGGAGAGAGCACAGCGCAGTGGTGTTCGAAGCTAAGATGTATATTTACGGAGGTTACGTCGATATCAAGGGACCGTCGCAAGAGTTTTGGAGTTTTACTTTCGGTGAGTGGAAGCAAAACGCTGTCTCCAGCGATCGTTATAGAGCATTGAGTGGAATATTCCCAACACTTGAGTGACCGAACAAGAGCCGACAACCGCAATAATACTCCGTGCCATCGATACGGCGCCTGATCACGTCTTCGAGACGTCTGAACGCGCTTCGCCGGAACACGCGGCGAAAAGCGAAGTGGCTGTGGATTTCGTGGGCGGAAGGCGGCAGCCAATGGCGCACAGCAGCGTCCCCGCAAACGGTCGTGGGTTGAAGCGACCGAATTATTCTTATTTATTTGGAAGGGATTATCACCCCCCCCCCCCGGAAAACCCTTACGACCGGGTTCCGACTTACCGCTGGGTAAACAGAGGCGTGCGCGTGCGTGCGTGCGTCGAGCGAGGAAACTTGCCTAACGTTTCGCCCCGAGTGCCCGCGGGAATCGAACCCGGGTCCTCTCGCTTGCGAGGCGAGCTCTCGGTGAGTAACCACTGAGCCACAGGACTATATACACAACATACAGACCCTCACGGGTGACTTGCATATTTTGGGAGGCGTGGAGCGGGAAAGGGAACGTGTTTTTACGGACGGAACAGACTTGTGGCAATGAAAAGGGACACCTGTTTTGTTGCGGCAGAGCTGGAGGAATGGCGCCCGGTGCTCAGCTCCTCGGCTGAGATCAGCCCCGGGCCTCGCTACAGCCATTCCGCCATCGTCTACCGGACCGGAATGTACTTGTTCGGAGGTCTCGTGGGCCTCATGGAGCAGAGCGACTTTTGGAGGTGGGATTTCGACAGCAACACCTGGTCCCGGATCAAAGCACGGTGATTAATAACGACGATAGTAATAATAGTATTAATATTAATAACAATAATGATCATAATAATCCTCGCGCGTGGCGTGGTCGAGACCTAGTCTCGTGGGCTGCAGCAGTTAAGGATCTCTCGAACTCGGCCCCCGATTGAAAGCTCTCCGAGACGTTACATTAATATTATTATTATTTGTTGACTTGTTCCTCGTCTCTCCCCCTCTCTCCCCTCCCCTCCCCCCCCCCACCCCCCCCCGCAGTTGTGGTCCTCAGCAGCTGGTGGGCCACTCCGCCGTGGTGTACCAGGACAGCATGCTGATCTTCGGTGGGGGCCGCAACCACAAGTCGGCCGACAACAGCCTGTGGAAGTTCCAGCTGACGACCCGGAGCTGGGAGAGGCTGACCCCGGCCACGGACAGGGCCCCCCCGGCCAGGATCTACCACTGCACCATCGGGGCGGGCCCGGGCTTCTCCCCCGCCGCCCGGGGGCTACCGACCGCCAGCACCAACGGCCCCCCGGAGGAACCGGACCGCTCCCCTATCCACCCTCCCCTGCCTGACGACCATGACGACGACAGCGGGATCGAGATGACGACCTTCCGGATGTGCTCGGGCCCACCCCCAGAGGAAGGCCCCGCGCAAGCGGACCTCGGGGAGCCCGGGGGCCCCCCCCCACCGACCGACAGCCTCCCGGAGGTGCTGCTGGTGGTGGGCGGGAAGCCCCTCTCCGAACACAAGTTCATCTCCATGTGGCAGATGAAACTGTGCGAGAGGTTCTTGAAGTCCTAACCTGGGAGGGAAGGGAGGGGGGGAGGGAGAGGGTGGGAGAGAGTTAGAGGGTGGGAGGGAGGGAGGGAGGGAGGGAGGGAGAGAGGGACGAGGAAACCAAGCGAACGCTTTTACGAGAAGGAAAGACTTCTGACTTGCGCTTGAGATTTTTTTGACTCGGCTTAGGGTCAACCTTCCACCCCCCCACCGCCCACCTTCCCCAACCTCTCCAGCTCCCCTAACCCTAAACCCTACGAGGAGGAGTTGAGGGGGTTGGGTGAGGGGGGGGGGTGGGGGATGAGGCCAAGGGATTGAGGGAGAGAGCACCAACGCTCGCGAGGGCAGCGGCTGAAAGCGGGGCCACCGAGGGTGGAGCGAAAGCGGTTCGAGGGACGGGCGGGAGGCCAGAGCCGGTGGTGGAGTTGGTGGGGGTGGGGGAACGGAGGGGGGGGGGGAGGGGGGAGAGTAAGCAGGGCGGAGAGGTAGGGAGGTGTCAGGGCGTGAAGGGATTTGTAGACGAGTTGGAGATGAGCGCGCGTGTGTGTGCGTGTGCGTGTGATTTTGTGTGTGGGGGTGTGTGTGTGTGTGGGTGTGCGTGTGGGTGTGCGTGTGCCGTACTGTACAGATACCTAACAACCCCGGTCGCTTTTCGACAGCGCATTGGGTTGCAGAGGACTCTTAGCGTTCAACTCGCGAATTTTTTTAATTTGAACCTTCGGCGATAAGGTCATTCAGAACAGATCAGGACTTTTACTGCAGCTTTTATTTTTATAGGCGGACAGAACGCGAAACTCTCTTTTTTTTAAAAAAAAAAGTATTTTTCCCCAGTTTTATTCGCCTGCGGACCCGTTGTCGTGTGGCGCCCGATCCGTAAGGTGGAAATTTCACCCCCGCCTGAGTTTACTCTTTACTTCTTAGCCTCATCAGAAGTTGTCCACCCCCCCCCCCCCCCCCCACTCCCACCCCCACCCCAAAAAAAAATACCCTCGCACGATTTTGAAGTAGGTTTCTCTTTTAAGTCGTCTCTTCGAGGAACTTACAGGTAAACCGGCTTCGAAGTTGAGGAGTGGAGTCTTGCGGCGTGGTGGTGAGAGCCGAGCGAGAGGAACCGGGTTCGATTCCCGGGCGGGAAGGAAACCCAAGGCAAGTTTCCTTACTCCGCACGTCCCTCGGTTTACCCTGCGGTACGCAGGCACCTGGCTGTTAGCCGACGGGCGGATCGCTTTCCGGGAGTAATAATCCCTTCAAAAAAAAGAATAAATAAAAATAATTTGTGGTCACTCAATCAATGGATGGACTGCTGTGGGCAATCGGCTGCTGCGGTTCACCCACAAAATATACAGTCGGTTCACTTTACAGTATGTTCTGTGAAGCAGAACTCTCCTCGGCCTCCGACCCAAAGCCGCCGTGAGCGACTGTGTGCGTGTACCGTCTCCAGTTCCTGGCTCCTAATCGCCCCCCACCCCCCCACCCCCCACCCCCATCTCCAGGCCGCGCCGTCTCGCTCTCGGCTCGGGGGAGCGATCAAAGGGGTCAGAGGTTTCCTCGGGGTCTGAGACGCGAGGCCGCAGACTCGCCATTCAAGGTCAGGTGGAATTTTAGACAAGTTAACAGGTTATTATTTCCCCCCGGAAAGCGATCCGCTCATCGACTTAACAACCGGGTTCCTACTTCTGGGTAAACCGAGGCACATGTGTGTGTGTGTGTGTGTGTGTGGAGTAAGGAAACTTGCCCAAGGTTTCGCCACTGACCCGCCCGGGAATCGAACCCGGGTCCTCTCGCTTGCGAGGCGAGCGCTCTAACCACTATGTAACGGGAATGAGAGGACCCAAGGAACCTCTTATAACCTTGACAACAAACGAGAGGCGATTTCAGGCGCTCGCGCTTGCGTCTAAGTGGATTTTTATTGCAACCGAGAGAAAGAACCTACATCATATATATAAATGTACAAAAGGGTAAATAACCTACAAACCACATTATTTTGTTACCAATGTACATACAAAATACAGAAAATCAGTGCTGCGTTGTGCCCCTAATACTGTTTATACATAAACTACTCCGTGAAACACGTGCACTTTTTTTTTTTTTGAAAACGGTTCAAAAAAAAAAATCATAATAAATTACAGTTCGAAGACTAGTGGAAATTGCACTTGTACTGAAGAGTTTCCAGAGCTATAAATTAACAAAGAAAAAAATCACATTTGCAAGTACAGTGAATCGGCGCACTTTGAAACTCCGCTCGGCATTCGACGCCCCGGGTCAATCTTCTCTTAAGTTGTCCTCAACCCTCGTAGCTGATGGGGGTTGAAGCCTTTTGCGTCTAACACATAGATTGGTTCGCTAACTCCGAAACCACTACTACCACCACCACCACCACCACCACCACGACTACCACGACTAATAATCCTTGCGTTCGACGCAGCGCCCTTATCACGTCGTCGAGACGCCTCGAAAGCGCTTCCCGGGCCGCGCTGTCAAGCGGAGTGACTGTGGATTGTGTGGGCGAAACGCGCACTGCGCAAAACAAGCGGTGGCTTGGGACTGACCACTTTTATCCTTTCCTCGGGCGAAGAATACAAGAACAAGAGACCGGGGTCTGTGCTGAGGGTCACCCGAGACTTAACTCAACATCCCCCCCCCACCACCCACCACCACCCCCTCCAGATGACCTACGAAACATTAGCCCCCTCACCCCCCCCCCCCCGGGTTACACCGAACTGGTCTGAAGACTTCACAGTCGCGCAAACCCAACGGGGGTTGTTGCCTTGAACTTCAAGCGAAGGCCTGAGATGTTCAGGCCAAGAATCTTAACGCAAGGGATCACGAGTCTCGACGAGTGCATTTTCTCTCCCTCCAGTTCGCTGTCTAGTTTAAGGAAGGTTCCTCAGCCCCTCCCCGCACAAGCCCCCCCCCCCCCCCCCCCGAAGTCCACCCCACCCCCCTCTATCCTCTACGCCACCAAATACCGATCCACGTTTCAATTTGAGATGAAAGTTATTCCAGTTCTGTGGGTCTTTCTCCTTACGCACCCGCACACAAACCCCTAATATCCTCCCCGTACCCCCCGCCATCAACCCCACTAGTTTTCCCCGTTTTCTCCTGGCAGTTTTCAATCCCCGGTTGGGTGAGGGTGGGGTTGAGGGGGTGTGGGGTTGGGGGTGGGGGGCGGTGGGGGGAAGAGGACTTCAATGCGTTCAATATAAATCTAACCCTGGGTCAATTTCAGATTAGGTTCTGTGATTCCTCTGCAATGAAGGGGGGGAAAGAGAGGAGAGGGAAGAGAGAGGGGGAGAAGAGAGGGGAACGAGGGGGCAGGGGAAGAGTCGGGAGAGAGAGGAGAAAGAGAGGAGAAAGAGAGGGGAAAGGGGGGAAAGGGGAGGAGAGGGGAGGGGAAGGGAGAGCATTGGTCATGGTGGTGGTGGGGGGGTGGGGGAAAGAGAGAGAGAGGGGGACAAAGAGGGAGGAGGAAAAAGGTATTGAATCAGTGATGAATGGCGGAGCGAGAGCGTATTTGTGGAGGAGGTTATCGACATGGCTCAGTACTGCAAGAGAGAGAGAGAGAGAGAGAGGAGGGTGGGATTTTCCGCACCGGTTGGTCGGGGGGAGGGGGAGGGTGGGGAGGAGAGGAGACTTCCTCCTGAATGCACCTCCTCAATGAGAGAGTTGACGCTCCCTTCACAGCTCAGTCGTCAACAGCCTCTTGGGCTTCGCTGGCTTCTCCACTTCCTTCGTGACAACGCTGTACAGAGAGGGGACAGAAGGTGTTACTGAGAGATGACGGTACCCACCCACCAACCATGCTCATTCCCCCCTCCTCCCACTCTCTCCCCCCCACCCCCCGTACCCCCACCCACCCCCACTCATCGCCATTGACCTCCTTTCCCCTCCTCTCCCCCGTTGCTGCGTTCCCACTTTACCCCCCGCCTCCCCGCCCCCCCGCCCGCCCGCCCTGCAAGATCTTTGTTTCCCAACTCTCACCACCCAGCCTTGCTCAGTTCCGCCCTCAAAATGCACAGTCACTCCACTTTACAGTACGTTCCGCGAAGGGCATTGAGACATCTCGAAGGCGCGATGGGGCGCTGGGTCAAGTGCAAGGATTATTATTATCACAGTTCTCCATTCCTACCCCCAAAAACCTCCCATTTCCCTAAGGTTAAACACCCAGGTGAATTTATAATAATAATATAACAATCCTTGCAGAGGGAGGGAGCCTGGGATGGGGACAGAGAAGCTGAAGGCCTGAGCACCAATGGAATTAATTCCCCCGTCTTACCTCTCTAACCCCCTCCTCCGATGCATCTAATTACACCCTCCTTCCCCGGACGGAGATCTCTCCCCCCCCCCCCCCCCACCCCCTATCCTCCCCTCAGCGTTACCTGGTTGTAAACGTGGATTCCACCGATCGCCGAGTCGGAGGAGAAGGAAGAATGAAGGGAGTGGGATCCGTGTCTGATTTCGTCCCTTTCAGCGTAGATGCAATGTTTCGGCTGAAAACGCCGTTGGCCATCACTGCGCTCTACAGAAAAAGAGAGAGAGAGAGAGAGAGAAAGAGAGTGGGGGGGGGATCACGGATAGAGCCGGAAAGCGTCGGGGACATTAGAGGTGAACGAGAGGACCAGGGTTTGATTCCTGGCCAGGGGCAAAACCCGAGGCAAGTTTCGCGCACACGCACACACACACACGTGCAAGCACGCTTCCGTCCACGTGTGCGCGCGCACGTATACACGGCAGCACACACGGGCAAGAACGCACACCCACAAACGTTCGCACCCACAAAAAAAAAGAAGGCGCTCCAATGAAATCATTCCCCGTGTGGTCACCCCCGAGGAAAGCAAGGAACAAAAATTAGGGGGAGGGGAGGTGGGCGAGGGAAAAGGGAACGACAGTAAAACTTCCCGCGCGCGGCAAGGAACGGTCAGAGCCAGCGAGGCGCGGTTCGTAAAGTGCTGGCGAGCAGCAACACTCAACCCTCGTGCCCGCTCACCTGGGGTGTGGGGTCGGTGAAGTCGATCAGATTCTCGGTCAGTGATGCCAGGAGTCTGTCCAGATCCTGAGCTGCGTTCTGTGCAAACACCGATCGCCCACAAAACATACAGTCAATTCACCGGCCTCCCCAAAACTCTGGAACACTCTTCCTCTATCCCTTCTTTCCCCATCTTCAGGTCGCGCCTCTTCCTCTTCGACCATGTCTACGGAGACCTTCCCCCACCCACTCCCACCCCACCCCCGAATAAATGCAAGTTGCTGTTGCTGTATATTGTGTGAAGCGCTTTGAGACGTGGTCATATTTGTGGGCCAAATGCCGCAGTCCATTGCGCACAGCAGCGTCCCCACAAACAGTCCTGGATTGAAGCGACCAATGCATTATTGTTTTTTTAAAAATCTTGAGGGATTATTATTCTTATGAAGCAGAACCAGTCACTGGGGATCAGGGAATCCTCCCCCCTCAGCTCCTGTTAAACCCTGCAAGCCAAAGCCCTAACGGGTAAGGGTGGTCCGAGCTGGACAAGCAGCGGGAAAGCTCGGCCAGACAGCGCTCTCGACGGCCAGCCGTGTGGTTTGAGCTGGTCAGACTCCAGCGGTTACCCCCAACGCACCACTCTGGGCTCCCCTCCCACTCTCCCACCCCCCCCTCAAAGCCTTGGCTCTTGCCAACCTGTGCCTAATACTCTCCGGAATTAGGTAAGCAGCGTGCGTCCCTCCAGAGAGAGAGAGAGGTGTGGGACGTGTGGAATTCTCAGCTTGGTGCGGAAGCGCTTAAGCATCGGTGATGGGTTTCCACACAGCTGACCCCCCACCCCCCCACTCTCCCCCCACCCACACACACACCAAAAATTTTTTAAGAGCGTTGCAATTCCAAAAAACGACCAGCAGACGGCCACCCATCACCACAGACCAGTCAGAGGGCGGTTCGATTTCTCCCAAGAGAGCATTTTTCATTAAATTCAGAGAAAAAACAAACATGGCGCGTTTCTAACGCTGCAAACTGCCCCCAGAAGGGCTGGCCGTGGCTTTGGGCACTCGCTGGGCTTACTTAGTCTGTCCGTTGTCAGTCTCTCTCTCCCTGCAAGTCTTTCGCGGGTCACTGCTGTGCACAAATTGGCTGCGCGCGGCGCGAACTTGCAACCACTCACTCACTCGCTTTACAGTACGATAACAATCCCGTGTTCCTCATCCTCTGTGTAAATCCTGACCTCCCAGCCTCTCCTTTTGTTCATCGTGATAATAATGATCCTCGCATTTGCGTTCCGCCCACGGAATATACAGTCAATTCACTTTACGTACAGTATACTCTGCGAAGGGCTTTGAGACGCCGTGAAGCCGTGATCAGGCGCTGTATCAAGTGCACGGACTATCGGTGTTATTATCATACTAATTAAATATCAATACTGCTTACTGGCTCCTGTTCATTGCTGACCTAAGGGTTGGGAATGTTACCTGTGTAAGCGGCGAGCCAGCGGGTGGCGGGATGGAGGCCGGGGGAGACATCGGAACTTCACAGCTCGAGCTGATCTCCTTCTGGTTGACGCCATCACTGGAAGGGAACAGATAACACTCGTAGAAATCTATGTCGGAGGTGGATTCGACCTATTGCATTAGCGGCGTCTTCAACAAGGACAGTGAGGTGGGTGGGTGGGGGGGGGGGGCAAGGATTCTCCCCGCTCAGCTGCTATTAATTATTAATATCAATAAAAATTAGCATTAACTGTGAATTATTATTATTTATTCTCGGCTCCTATTAACCGTTAATGTTAACACAAATTAGTCTTAATTCTGAATTATTATTTATGAGCACCTCTTGTTAATTATTATGACCTGTTTATGATTATGACCATACGCCCATTCACCACTGTTAGGAACGATGAACTTTAATAATAATAACAATAACAATCCTTTCATTCGAAACAGCACCTTATCACGTCTTTGAGACGTCTTAAAGCCCTTCACAGGATACATCATGAGATGGATTGATTGTGTATTTTGTCGGCGGACTATTATTTCTTAGGCTTAGTTATCAATTATTATTACTAAGCATCAGCTCGGTATTATTTATTCGCAGTCGCGGGGACGTGATAATACGCTCTATGAAATGCAAGGATGATTACTTATTCATTTATCATCATTTATTTAAGTGCCCCCCAGATGAAGGATAAACTATCATGAGAGTTCATCGCTCCTAACGGGCGTCACTTCCGCCACTCAAGTACAGTCTCGAACCCACTGCTATCCCGTTGTTGTCCCCGACTCACAAAGTTACTTACGAGCTGAGGGGAACGCTGGTCTGGTCATTTCTCGGTTTATCCTTCGAGTCCGGTCTCTCTGGGGTTTTGCTCCCTGTGCTTCCGAGGCACCTGTTTCGATGCATCGAAACCATTTATGTACGTGAGCTACTCACCCTCACGTACATAAAGTTGCAGCCGCACAGCTTGATGCTCGACCAGACAACGATGGACACCCTACTTTACGGGTTTCCCTGAGCCCGGGAGCACAGTGGCTAAAGGCTTGGACGCTGAGGCGGGAGAAGAAATAAGGCTGGGGCCGAACGAGGGGGGTTCAGAATAAGGAGGGTGGGAAATGATAGAGGAACAGCACACGCACACACACACACACACACACACAGAGAAAATTTGGGGCAGCAAAAGTGGTGCAATCGTCTCTCACCTGAACGCCACATCATTCACACTGCAACTTGGATCGTCCAGGAAGTTGGTGACCTGAGGATACATCAACGAAAACTTGTGACCCCCATCTACAGGTTTAGATGCCCCAAACCTCAATGCAAGTTGCGCTTAAATCCTCTCCCCCACTTCCCTCTCCCCCCACCCGCCCCCCACACACACACACACACGCACAATTTTTTTTAGCCGTTGATAGAAGAATAATAATAAATCCTTGCATTTCATGTAGCGCCTTATCACATCTGCTCGACGTCTCGTTTTAAGCCCTTCAAAGAATATACCGCGGTAGCCAATTGCGCGCAGCAGTGTGTCCCACAAACACGCACACACGCGGATTGAAGTAAGTGACCGAGTTATTATTATTATTCATTTATTTATTCGGAAGGGATCATTAACCCCGGAAAAGCCATCCGCCAATCGACTAACCACCGGGTTCCTACTTACTGCCGGGTAAACAGAGGCGTGTGTGTGTGTGCGTGTGTGTGTGTGCGTGTCTGTGTGTGCGTGTGTGTGGAGTAAGGAAACTTTCCCAAGGTTTCGCCCTGACCTGACCCGCCCGGGAATCGAACCCGGGTCCTTTCGCTTGCGAGGCGAGCGCTCTAACCACCGAGGTCCCCCAAGCTGTGACCATCAAGTGGGGGGGTTTTTGGGACGGGGGGTAGGGGGGGTTGGGGGGGAGAAGCCTTTTACCTTCAATACAGCCTCCCCCTGAGCCTTCAGAACGTTGCTCTTGACCTCCCCGGGCGACGGGGTGGGAATAATCTCCGCCGTCATCTTCAGCCCTTTCTCTGTCAGCTTTGCCGTTTCCTCCTGCTGTTGGCGGGGCATTTCAGGAAGTCACTTCACCCCGTAGCTAACCGGTCACGAGGGTTGTTTCAAAGTGTAGTGACTATATCTTATCTTCTGGTTGAAACAACCCTCGTCAAAGCCCTCATAACCCTCCCAACAATAGAATAAATACGTCGAGGCATTATGCGGGTAAGCAGTTTCGTGTCAAGACGTCTCAAAGACCTTGACTGTTAATTGTTGACCAGCCTGGGGCACAACGCACTCACTGGAGTCATTCCTCCACCCCCCCACCACCACCACCACCCAAGCCTTCGCTCTTACCAACCTGTGCCTGATATTAAAAACACCCCCCAGCCCCCTCCCCCAGAAAATCCAGGTATTTTAAGCAACTGAAGAACGGCTGTAGCCCCCGTGAGTAATTGTGCGTCAGAGATGTCAAAAGACTGGACTTCGGAACAGCCAAGTGAGCGGCATTTATCTGTCTGAACATTCCTGAACCAAAGGCTGTTCCCGGGACAAGGTCAAGCCAATCAGCCTTGGTCGGCTCCCGTCTTTTCCCCCACCCACCCCCCCGCCTCCCTCTCCCCCCGCCCGCCCGCCCACACACTGCTCGCCCCAAGGCTCCAGACAGTCATCTCCCGTGACTCCAGCCCGCGTTGATTTGATTGAAAAAATTCAGCACCCGCCAGGTTTCTCATCTTGTCGAGCGGGTGAAACAATAACAAAAGACTGCTGCGCCCACAGAACGCACAGTCACTACACGACGCTTCGCGGTGTATCCTGTGAAGCGCTTCGAGACGTCTCAACGAAGTGATCAGGCGCGGTATCAAATGGAAGGATTATTATAATTATTATTACTGTTGTGAGAAAAGAGCTCGCATTTATCCAGTGCCCTTTACGAAGGATAGGGTCTTGTTTCAACCCCCAGCTCGGGTCCAAACCCTCAACGAGTTCAGCGCCTTGGGACGTCCTTCCTACGTGAAAGGCTCTGCGTAAATGTAATGTTGTTGGTGGTGCTGTACAGGGGTTTGGATTGCGAGCAAAGGACAGAGCGGGAGGTGACCGACAGTGCAACGTACTGCGTTAGAGTCTCAGTTTAGACTATGTGAGTTCAAATCCCGACATGCGATAGTACTACTACTAATAATAATCTTCGCATTTGATACAGCGCCTTATCACATCTTCCAGACGTCTCACAGCGCTTCACGGAATAGACTGTAAAGTGAACTGACTGTATATTTTGTGGGAGACACACGGCGGCCAATTGCGCACAACAGCGTCCCCGCAAACAGCCGTGGATTGAAGTGACCAATTTATTATTATTTGGAAGGGATTATTACCCCCCCCATCCGGAACAGCGATCCGTCAATCGCCCAACAACAGGGTTCCTACTTACTGCTGCGTAAACAGAGACGTGTGGATGGAGTAAGGAAACTTGCCCAACGTTTCGCCCGCCCGCCCGCCCGCCCGCCCGGGAATCGAACCCAGGTCCTCTCGCTTGCGAGGCGAGCAGCTCTAACCACTGAGCTGCAGGACTCCTCTGCGAATGGACTTGTCGTGTGTCCCTGTGCTGACGAACTGGCTCGGACAGCAGAGAATGGAGCCCTGCTCTCACCTGGCTGTTGACGTTGAGGTTCAGGCTGGGGTTGGGACTTCCCTGAATCTGAAGCTGCTTCAACCGGGCAATCACTTCCTCGAGGGCTGAGGGACGAAGACAGACAGCAAGCCAGTCAAGCCGGGTGGAGTAATGCTTCCTGACGTGTCTCGGCAAACAACAACTGGAATTTATACAGCACCGCTCACCCAGAGTTAGCGTCTCAAAGCGCTAGGCAGTGACGGAGCTGAATGTCAAGGCGTGGGATGGGTGGTCAGGTGGGGGGTGGGGGTGAGGTGACCGTATGCTCAGTCGAAGAGGAAGGTCTTCAGGCGCGACCTGGGGTGGCAGAGGGCAAGGCGGAGGGATTGAGGGAGTGCGGTCCTGAGTTTCGGCCTTTGCGTACAGTCTGAGAACTTCACAAGGACAGCGTTGGGAACCGAGCAACATACAGTCGATGAGATAGGTTTAAGATGCCTTTTGAAGACAGCTTAAGAGTGGTGGTGGTGGAGTTGGGGGGGTGGGAGGGGGGGAACGGAGGGACGGGACAGAGGGGGTTGAAGGAGCGATGACTGGTTTGAAGAGGTTGCGGAGGTTGATGCGGGCGGTAGAGTTTCACACGGTTGCAATGGCAAAGCCAGGGATCACTCTCACACACACACCATCACACCAACACACACACACCAACACACACACATACACACAAAGCGACACACAACCCCGCGCGCGTCTAGAAAGCAGCCCCTCACCTGTGGAGTCCGATGGCTCGGTCGCGCTGTCGTTCGTACCGGGGGGGGAGGTCAGACCGGGGACCCCCTCGTCTGGAATTCCCGCGGGTTCGTCCACGCTGGTCTCGACCAGCCCCGTGGCGTCCAGGAGGTCAGCGAGCAGAGGGAAACTGGACGAGGAGAAAAGAGAGTGAGAGGCGAGGCCGAACTCGACCGTTCGAGACTCCGCCAAAGAAGAAGTCCAGGCACCTCGAAGGCTCTCCGGGTGTGAGACCCGCGTAAAAAGCCTCCCCCACCCCCCAGATTTAATGCCAACAATTTGCGGTCAATTGAATTCATGCAAAAATAGCTCGCTTTAACCCTTTGAGCACTGGATATAACCTTCCGAACAGGCAGCCCTGGGCAATCCCAAGTTATCCGGGAAGGAATCGAACCTCAGGCAAACAGGAGACCGATTTCCCCAATCGTTTCACCGTCCCCCAGTCCTCTCGGCAATAAGGGACTTCGAGATGTTCGATGGAATCCTACAGCACAGAAGGAGGCCATTCAGGTCTCATTCTCCCACCCCCCCCCCCCCCACCACCGCCCCCTCCACCTCCTCTTCCCCCCGTAGCCTTGAAACGTGTGTCTTTTCAAGTAGCAAATTCCCTTTACAAAGTTATTATTGAATCTACTTCCGCCAACTCTTTCGGTCTGTTTGTTTAGTTTTTCTTGGGTGGGTCAGTTTCTTGGTTGGTTCCCGCAATGCTCAAAGGGTTCACCGTGATTTCAAAGAGGCAAAAAAGCTTTACCGCTTGTCCATTAAACCCTTCGCCGTTAGCCGGAGTAGCAATAGCGCTATTATCGATGCTTTGCCCATCACCATTTATTCACCCGTGTGACAAGTAACGGATTTGAAGCCGAGAAGAAATACAAGAAAGCAATTGTCATTTTTTTTTTTTTTCAGAGAGCGAATCAGCTCAAAAAGCCGGAGAGAAAACCTATTTCAATGGGTGGAGGGGGTGGGAGAGAAAAAAAAGTAGTCCTTCATTCATTCTACAATTTGGTATTTTATCGGTAGCGGAGTAAAGATTAATCAATCACCGACCGGTGGCTTAATTCACCAGCAAAAAAATCACAGACAGAGAGCTAGATAAGGCAGCCAGCATCACCAAGTAATTCATTAGCTTGCGTGATCCACACAGAAGAAAATATTCCGAGTGTAATAGGTACCTGGTAACAAGTGCAGAGTTCAGCCATTCAGCCTCACTGAGGCGAGACTGTGTACATGTACCCTCGACCATCATCCCCTTCTGCAGTGTGAAAGCAGCTGGACGGGGATTTAACAACCTAACAGCTTCTCAAGACATTATTTGGGTTAGGTTGGCCATTGTTTTGTGACCCTATAACCCCCCCCCCCCAACCTATCCTCGCCCGGCACCGCTGGCTCCCCATTCCCCCCCCACCCCACTCGTCCCGAAGATAGAGTTCAAGATCCTCCTCCTCGCCTTCGAAGCCCTCCTCCGCCTTGTTCCTCCCCTGCCTCTGTGACCTGCTAACTCCATACAGACCTGTCTGCTGCTCTCCCACCCCGCTCCGGCTTGCTTCACCTCCCCCCCACCCCCCCCACCGCCCGCCCGGCCTGCCCCAGCATCGGCGGTCAGACCTGCAGCCTCTCTGCCCCCACTTGGAACTCCATCCCACATTCCCTTCGCCTCGGCTCCATCCCTGGCCTCCTTCAAAGCCCGGCTCAAGAGCCTCCTCTTCGACCTTCCACCCCCTCCCCCGTGATACCAACCCCCCTCAGCTCGGGTCCAAATCCCTGACTGTCCAGCGCCTTGGGACGTCCTCCTGACGTGTCAAAGTCATTTGTTGACATGTCGATGAACGTGAGGTGTTACATTATAAAGGAAGTGGGCTCCAGACAAGCCCAATCCAGCAAAACTGAATAGGGAGGATGGTGCTGAGGGAGAAGGAGTCAAGAGCGTCCGTTTCATCGTTGTGTACTCGGCAGGATACATTAGGGGTCGAGGGAGGGAATAGAGGGGTGTAGAAGAGAGGAGAATAGGCAGAGTGAATATCTCCTGTGGGGTATAAATACTGGCACACACCGTTCATAATCATCCTCGCATTTGATACAGCGCCTCATCACGTCATCGAGACGTCTCGAAGCGCTTCGCAGGACGTACTGTAAAGTGGAGTGACTGCGTATTTTGTGGGCGAAACGCGGCAGCCGATTTACGCACAATTTACGCCCGAGTGACCAATGGGGGATTGTTGGCCAGGACACCGAGAAACTCGTTGGGACTAGTCAACCTCATCCAGGAAAGTTGCTGCAAAGTCAACGCTTCTGGGCCAGGAAATAGCTCGAGGGCGAACATAGGAACAGGAGGGATGTTTCGGGCGGGAAGAATGCGGCGTGAGAAATAAAATAAATCTATTCCGAGGTAAGATTACGGCTTGAAGTTGCACTCACTCGTACGCTAAGCTTTAAAACACATCTCTCTCTCTCTCTCTCTCTCTCTCGCGCTTACAAATAGCTCCTTCCTGTTTAATCAACTCAGTGAACGCAGATGTATCGCAGGATCTTGTCAGCACAAGTCTGCTCTCCAATCCATCTCACCACAGCGTGAGATACTGCCCAGCCTGGCAGCAAACTGACTGTGGGGTCTACAATCTTGGAAATTTGAATGGGATTCCTTCGTAAGCAATGTCAGGGGAAGGGAATTTAAGAGAGAGAGACAGAGAGAGAGAGAAAGAGGAAACGTTCCTTCCAGGCAAAGTCAGTCTTAACCTACGTTGCTCTGAACATAAATAATAATAATAATCCTTGCATTTGAGACAGCGCTTTATCACGTCATCGAGACGTCTCAAAGCGCTCCACGGAATATAGTGAATCCCACATATTTTGTGGGCAAAACGTAGCAGCCAATTGCACACAGCGGTGGTTTGAGTGACCAACTTTTCCACGACGGGATTGTAAACCCACGGAAAGCGATCTGTCAATCGATTGACAACTGGGTTCCTACTTACTGCTGAGTAAAACAGAGGCGTGTGGAGTAAGGGTTTCGCTTCCTCATTCTCCCTCTCACGGAGCGAGAAGGAGAATTAAAGAGAGAGAGAGAGAGAGAGAGAGAGAGAGCGACTGGAATCTTAAATCCGTCCTCACCCTTCCTTATTTGCAGCTGGGGAGGGGGATAAAAACAAATAAAATTAGTTTTCGAGGAGTGTTTCTATATTCCGCATTTTCTGCTGCACTCTTTCCCATCTGAGCCCCACCACACAAAAAAAAACCTTTGGTTAAAATCGCTTCACATAACAGCGATGTCTTTGTAAACTCCTGCCTGAGTGCCGCGCTCATCTCCAGCTAATGTTGCCCCCACAAGTGAAAGCTCAGGTCTCAGGCAACAATAACAGTCGAGTAACTTCGATAAATAATTCCGCGAGGTTTCCGAGGCTGAGGTCAGGGTCAGATTGCTAGGTGTTGGGACCTGGGTTTACCAGAGAGTGGACTGATGATAAGAGCCGTGTTTAATGATGTGATAAAGACCGCCTGGGGAGCGGGGGAATCCTTGCATATTTCTCCAGCGACGATATTGGGAGTGAGAAATTATTCTTGGCCGGAAAGTGCATCAGCCTGGCTCATTTGGTAGCACTCTCGCCTCGGGAGTCAGCAGGTCGTGGGTTCGAGTCCCAGGTCGGGATTTGAACTCATATCGTCTTAAGATGACACTCCAATGGAGCCCTTGGGATCCCACGGAGCTATTTGAAAAGGGAAGGGAGTTTCTCTTCCTCTCTCCCTCTCTCCTGTGTCCTGATCGACAACGTAAAATCGGTCACTCACTCCACGACTGCTTATGGGACACTGCTGCGTGCAAACCAGCCGCCGCCTTTCGCCCAACACAAAATTCACAGTCACTCCACTGTACAGTAATGGCTGCAAAGGGCTGTGAGAACGTCTCAACGATGCGATCAGGCGCCGTATCAAAGGCAAGGATTATCATCGCTATAAATTCACCAGCCGCATCGGAGAGGATGAAATTACACCCCCCGCCCACCACCCCTACCCGCCCACGCACACGCACGCACACAAAAAATAGCACCAAATATTGTTCGAAACATTAAAAATTTATACAAAGCAAACAGATGAACAACAGGGCATAATCCTGGACAGCAGTTAAAACGCAGCAAAACGATATCGGTTCATAATTGCGATACAAGATGGCATCAACGAACGAACAAATCGATGTGGGTCAGTCGATGAGCGATGAACAGAAAGAAGCCAATAATTAACATTCAAGATCAGCAAATAGAATACGCAGCAAATCTATTCCCCTCTACAGGTTTACGGCGATGGAATCCTCTTTTTACAAGAGCCGTTTTGCCCACAAAATATGCGGTCAACTCACTTTACGGCGTATCTATCCTGTGAAGCGCTTTGAGACGTCTCGAGGACGTGATAAGGCGCTGTATCAAATGCCAGGGTTATCGTAACTGCAGGAAGTCAGGCTTCCGGATTCTGGCTGAATTTCTGCACAATTCCTGAGCAGTCCCCAATTTATAACAGGTATGAACTACCCTCACGGCTCAAGACTGGATTTCAGACCTCTGGAGGTAATAATAATAATAATAATAATAATGTTTGCATTTGATATAATGCTTCATCACGTCGTCGAGACGTCTCAAATCACTTCGCAGAATATACTGCAAAGTGAATTGACTGCGTGTTTTGTGGGCGAAACGGGGCAGCCAATTGCGCACGGCGGCGTCCCCCACAGACAGCCGCGGATTGAGTGACTGAGTTCTCGCTATTATTATGTTTCTTTGTTGAATTGATTGTTACCGCTGGAAAGGGATCCGCCAATCGACAAACGACGGGTTCCTACTTACTGCTGGATAAACAGAGGCGAGTGGAATAAGGTGTCGGGGAATCGAACCTGCGTCCTCTCGCTTGCGAGGCGAGGGCTCTGACCACTGCGTCGCAGGAGTGTGTGCGGAAATTGGGCGGGGTTGGGGTTGGGGTTGGGGTTGTGGGGTGGGGGGGGAGAAGAGGAAGTAGAGTTAAGTAATCGCAAAACCATTTTGACTCCATTAAAACCACAGGTTTCTGAGGCATCTGCAGAGGCATAACAACACTGCACAGAATGCACAGGACATCTGGTCAAGAAATTCCAAAACATCCCTCTTCTCTGACTTAATCCCCCACCGCTCCTCCCTCCCTCCCTCCCTCCCTCCCTCCCCCCCACCCTCAACCAACCAGTCCCCTCACACCTTATTTATGAATGGGCATTTTTACTTCCTCACTTGCTTTCCTCCCCCCGCACCCAGGCTGACACACACGTACTTATCACCAACGAAAGCATTTCACAAGGTCTTTCCTTGAGCTGGGATTACTCAGCCAAACACTGTTTGTCAGTGGAGCGACAGTCAGGCACATCACTCATATACTCCTGCGTTCTCCAGGTTATGCTCATGGACATACTCCGTGGGTTCCGGCTGCAGGTTGCACCACTGTCCGTCAGGATACAGGTCATCATCACAGGGGGAGCCTGGTATGGGGTTGTGAGGAGTGGGGAGATGGTGGGGGGTGGGGGTGAGGAGTGGGGAGAAAGGAGGAGGGAGTTTGGAATAATTAGTGACTAGCGATGCATGGGCTGGAGGGAACGAGAGATGCGTGGCTAAAAGCGAAGAGAAAGAGGTGGAATGGAGGTAAAGGGCGCAGTGCGACTGGAAGATTTAATGCACCGACTTCAGATTGGAGAAGGGGTCTCAATGCTCACCAGGGGTTAGACGAGGGAAGTTTCGAGGTGCTGGTCAGGTAGAGGAAAGCGTTACTTAGTGCTGGGTAAACGGAGGCGTGTGGGGTAAGGAAACCCGCCTAAGGTTTTCTCCTGTACCGGCTTCGATTCCCGGGCAGGGCGAGTCCTTAAGCGAGTTTCCTTCGCTTAAACCTCAGCAGGAGTGAGCGAGCGAGCGAGCAAGCGAGTTAGTGTCTCCTCGTCGTGAGCGAAAGGCAAGACATGCGGAATTCATTTGGGGGGGGGTGGGGTGGGAGAGGAAAGGGGAGGGAGGATTGTATCACACCGGACAGCAGGCAGACCAGGGATGCGGGGGGATTGGGGGGGGGGGGGGGGGAAGGAGGGGGCTGGGTTTGATACGTGAGAGGAAAATCATCACCCACCAGTGGAAAGGAAATAACCGCGGTCAACACGCCGGAGAGCCCTCTGCCACCCCCAGCGATAGACGAAACAAGAGATGACAAAATAAATCAACAGATATCGAGGAAACCCATTTGATTCGCCAGGGATTTTGAGTTTGGTCAAGTTGCAGAAGCCAGCGAGGAGAAACAGGACAAGCAGAGATCTCTTCCCCCCTCCCGTCCCACTCCACACACACACACACAGCCCCCATCCCACCCCACCCCAACATCACCTCAAAGTATTCAGAGTCACGGAAACACATCGACAAAACTCATTCGGACGCTCACTGAAGATCCAGACACTGACACCCAGACCTGCGCACATACACACACACATACACACATACACACTGCCACCACCACCGCCACCGCCACCGCCACCACCAGACGTGAGAGCGATACACAAACAGACCTCATCAATCCCACAGCTCGGAGGGCAAATGCAGTAACCCTCAGCCTGTTAATACAGTAACGTCAGCCGGGACCATACATTTAATACGACTTACCCAAAGTTACGAGCGATGGGAAACTTGCTAAGTTCTAGCGGAAAATTCAACGAGACTCGGGGGTGGGGGCAGGTGTACCACTTAGGCGATTGATTTTATGATTCACGCAGATCGGACTTGTGCGAGTTTCACCGCAGCAAAGCACTGGGCAATTCCATCCCCCGCCCCACCCTCCCACCTTATTAGGCACCTCGTCAAAGCACCAGTTTATTCATCACGTGGGTCTCAGGTCAGATACATACCCGATGTGGACAAACTGACTTCCTCCGCACTTGCACAACCCGGAAGTGGGACGTGCGGACATTTTGCTTACGGCTCTGTTATAACGCAGTGTCTTAATTTCCGGACTCAGACCCCCGCGTTATAACAGTAGCTGACCACACCCAGTGTTCGACTACCCTGAGCATAGGAACAGGACTAGGCCATTCAGTCCCTCGAGCCTGTTCCGCCGTTCTACCAGATCGTGGCTGATCCAGACCTCCCCTCCCACTGAGCATTATATGGAGCTTCCACCGCCCTCGACAGGAGCCTCGAGACATTTCTTAAAGTGCGGTCCCCGCAAGTTAACGACAACAAAGACGACGACTTGCATTTATAGCATCATCATAATGACAGTCGTTGCATTTGATACGGCGCCTCATCGCGTCGCCGAGACGCCTCAAAGCGCTTCACAGGACACACCGTAAAAGTGCAGCGACTGCGTATTTTGTGGGCGAAACGCGGCAGCCAATTGCGCACAGGGGCGGCCCCCGCAAACGGGCCGTGGGTTCGAATGACCAATTTATTTATTCACAATTATTTTTGCAGAGTAGCTTCCCAGAGCTCACGACGACAATCCATTCGCGATTATTTTTCATTCAAAATAAATCAACGCAATCAGAACAATTTGGTCGCTCGACCCACGGCTGTTTGCGAGGCACTTCGGTGCGCCATTGCCTGCCGCGTGTCGCCTAAAAGAAATACACAGTCAAGTGGCTTTGCAGCGTATCCCGCGAAGCGCTTTGAGACGTCTCGACAACGTGATAAGGGGCTGCATCAAATACGAGGAATATTGTCATTACAAGCTCGGAATTTCCTCGGGAAAACGGCTAAGGCCAACACATCGCAGTGGGATCAAAGAGTTCGGAACCGTGGGACAATGTTCTTCGTGACCAGCCATTTGCCTTACCTCTTCTTGTCAGCTGGACTGGCACCTGGGCTTCTGGGGAGATTCTCGATTTCGATCGGGATGGGACCTGTGGGCAAAGTGGTCACCACCGGGACAGTCGACCTCGTCATCCAGGCCTTGGAAGAGGAGAAGAAAAGGTATCGTACATCAAAGGCCTTGGCTTGGGTTTCAACGCCCTCTCGCTCGTCTTCAAATCCCTTCATGCCCTGACGCCTCCCGACCTCTCCCACCTGCTCAGTCCCCCACACTCAACTGACTCTCCGTTGCCTCTGCTCGACTGACTCCCTCTCCTCCTGCTTGTCCCTCGTGCCCTCTGTTCCACCATCGGCGGTCGTGCTTTCAGTCGCTGCGCCCCCGAAACTCTGGAACGCTCTCCCTCAATCCCTCCGCCTTGCTCCCTTCCTTTCCCGCGCCTGAAGACATTCCTCTTCGACCGTCGTTACAATCTCACACACACACACACACACACACACACCGCCCCCTTCAACTCCCACCTCCCCAGCCAGCAGCGTCCAGCACTTTCGAGACATCCTCCTGATGTTAAAGGATAATAATAATAATAATAATAATAACGATAATAATCCTTCCATTTGATACAGTGCCTTATCACGTCGTGCGGACGTCTCAAAGCGCTTCACAGGATATACCGCAGAGTGAAGTGACCGCGTGCTTGTAGGATCTGTGTGAGCGGCAAACTGCGTTGAGTTAAAAAGCCAGCAGCGAGGAGACGGGGGATGAAAACTGAGCCTCGGGTTACAGGGGCAGAAGTATTCAACACGACAAGCTTGGAATTCCGGTGATGTTTGAGCGCAGGGCTGCACTGTGCAATCCAGAGACGTCTCCGCCGGCCACGATTTGTTTAACAAAAGTATTTGAGACATTCCAAAGGGCTCCGTTTCGCAGCCCTCCGTGTTGCCAAACTTCTTCTACCCACGACTTGCGTTCACGCAGCTCCCCCCCCACCACACCCCACCACACCCACCACTCCAAGCAACGACCGCCACAACAACAACAAACAACAACGCGTATTTATACAGCGCGCGCTTCACGTGGAAAATAACGCTTACCTGGGACCCGGCTTTGTGATGTGCTCTGTTCTCCTGAGAACTGGCGTGAAGATGAATTAGGAAGTTAGTGACGAGGCACGCAGCGCGCAACACAAGCCACGGACCGCGCCGTGAACGCTGAGAGCGATTCATCTTCCCACTCGGTGAAATGAACCGATTCGGACCGTTACCGCCACCCTCGGGCATCGAGCCGATTCAACGAGGATATGGGACCGAAAGAGTCGGGATTACGCCAGGGCACCGACTGAGACAAGCTCGCGCACGGGGGGGGGGGGGGGGCATTTGTGGGTCCCCGTCATCGCAAGCGGCTGCCTTCGAACCAACCTCTACGCCGCACGACGATTGCTCCCGAAGAGCTTTGAAAATCGACCCTTCCCCTCCTCCTTCTCTCCCCCGCGCTCCCACCCCGTGGTCCTCACCCCCCCCCGCCCCCCGCCGAGAATTCCTCCCCCCCCGCAGCCAGTCTCCAAAGGGCAACCGGTTCAACGAGACCGAAAACGGGGTAAAAGGGCCACACACTCTCTCTCTCTCTCTCTCTCTCTCTCTCTCTCTTTCTCTCTCTCTGAGCCGTGAACACCCACCAACGATGTCGATCTGTTTCGTTCGTTTTCAACGCGTCAAATGTCGCTTCGAACTAATTGCGGCTCAGTTGGAAGCGTTCTCGCCTCCGAGTCAGAAGGTTGAGCGTTCGAATCCCCCTCTAACCCCACTCCCCCCTCCCCCACCCCCCCAATAAATCAAGACGCTCAATCCACGACTGTTTGTGAGACACACTGCAACGAGCAATTGGAACGGCGACAGATCGGTTCCCGTGAACCACACCCGCACGTTCAGTTGCTGTTGTATTGCCCCTCTACCTCCTCCCTCGCTGCGCCCTCCCCCCACCCCTACCCCACCCCATTCAACGAACAAACAACCCATAAATAGGAATCACGTGCATTTACCTGCTCTCCAGGTTTCTGTTGAAAGGATTCGCTGTGAAAATACCAGAGAAAAAAGACAAAAAGATTTGTCAGAATGATTCGCGACAAGAGTAATAACCTGTAATGTCCGTCGGCCTGGCTCAGTGGTAGCACTCTCTTCTCCCGCCTCCGAGTCAGAAGATTGCGGGTTCGATTCCCACCTCGGGACTTGGAATCACATCGTCTAAACTGTCGCCCCCAACACAGAGCTGGGGGTGGGGATGGGGGCGGGTGGTGGTGGTGGGGGGGTTCCTGCTGTATTGTCAGAGGTGTCGTGGTTCGGATGAGATGTTAGACCGAGGTCCGGGTGGATTTTAAAGACCCCTACGGTGCTACTCGAAAAGAGTAGGGAAGCTTCTCTCTCCCGGAGGTCGGGCCAACAAGCCCTCAAATAAAAATTGATCACTCGTTTCACGGCTGATTTTTCTGCGCAATTGGCTGCCGGGTCTCGCCCACAAAATACACAGTCCAAAACACGTTACAGTATATCCTGTGAAGCGCTTTGAGACGCCTCGAAGACGTGATAAGGCGCTGTATCAAATGCAAGGATTATTATTATTCTCCCACAGGCTCTCAATGGGATTCAAGGCACAGAAATGTTAAATACCAATTAAGACTCAGTGGAGAGTTGGAGAGAGAGAGAGAGAGAAAGAAAGAGAGAAAGACTTTGTCTTTTAAAAAAGATACGCTCGTTGGAGGGTACTCAAAACCGCGGGCTTTTACAGAGATTAGTAATGACAAGACGCCGAGAAAATTATCGTCGCAGCAATTAATTCTTGGTTTTAAGAAGCGGCGTGTTGGAGGAAAGCCAAGGTTGTGTTTGAATCGCAGCCACAAACCCAAGGGCGTACATGCCCCGAGCTTTTAATAATAATAATAATAATAATCCAGGGCCTTATCACGTCTTCGAGACGTCTCAAAGCGCGTCACAGAATATCCTGTAAAGTGGACTGACTGCGTATTTTGTGGGCGAAACGCGTCAGCCAATTGCGCACAGCAGTCGTGGATTGAGTGACCAGTTTTTTTTAAGATACGCGGAGGGATTATTACCCCGTGAAAGCGATCCGCCAATTGACTAAACAACCGGGTTCCTGCTGGATAAACAGAGACGCGTGGGGTAAGGAAACTTGCCGAATGTTTCACACCACCCGGGAATCGAACCCAGGACCTCTCGCTTGCGAGGCGAGGCGAGCTCTCTGACCGCCATGCTACAGGGCTGCGCTCAGTAAACGTACCGCGAGGCTCTCACGTTACCTCGTAGCTGTGTGGAGCGCCTGGAGTAGCGACGGCTGGGTCTACGTTCGAAGGACGCCTGTCTCCTGGGCTTCCCCGTCTTGGTCGTCTGGTACTCGGTCCTACCACTGCAAAGCAAGCGTTCGGGCATTAACCCCTGAAACACCACGGTGGGGACGGGAAGTAGGTCTGAGAACGTTGCTCCATGTGAGTTGTTGTTGTTATTGTTGTTGTGAAGTCCTGTAGCTCAGTGGTTAGAGCACTCGCTTTGTAAGCGAGAGACCTGAGTTCAATTCCAGGCAGAGGGCGAAACCTTGGGCAAGTTTCCTTACTCCACACAGAGCCTAATAATAATCCCTCCAAAACCACAAACAATAATAAATTGGTCATTTTCAATCTACGACTGTTTGTGGGACATCGCTGTGCGCAATTGGCTGCCGCGTTCGCCCACAAATATACAGTCAATTCACTTTACAGTGTGTTCTGTGAAGCGCTTTGAGACGTCCTCCCGACGTGAAAAGCACTATATCAAATGCAAGGATTATTATTATTATTATTATTATTATTAATGTAGCTGGTTGACGGTGTTGGTGGTATTGGAGCGATGGCTGAGTTTTACCAGCCAGCTCCCCAACGTTGCAAAACCTCACGAGATATTTTACGTTAAACGATTCCATCAACTGTGCAAGTGGCACTGAGGAGAACAGAAATCATCGCGTCCTCAAAGTAGGATTCAAAGTCCTAGCGGAGAACAATAAGGGTTACAGGCCCAGAAGAATCCCATCAAGCCCACCCTACTCTGCGGCCTATTAACCTTTCCCCTTCCTCCGCTCGACGGGCACTGGGTTGCTTCATGCCCCCCACTGCCCTGTCCGACCCATCATCAGCCTTCACCTTTCCTGGCCTCACCCTCTGGAAGTCCATGCCCGCAGTCCCTCCGTCTCGCCCACCTCACACCCTAACCCCTCCCCCTCTCTTGCCTCCTTCAAGGCCCGGCCCAAGACCATCCTCTTCGATCGCGTCTTCAGCCAACATCCCACCTCGCCTACCCTCCAGCCCTCTCGATTCCCAACCCCCAGCCCTTTGGGGGGGGGGGGGACGGCGGTGAGGGGAGTTCCCGGTGTCCTGTCCTGGCAATCTTTCAGGGATTTTCACCTGTATCTGAAGCGGGAGCCCATCCGGACGAACGCAATCCGGTTGGAATTCTTTTGGATGGGTCCCGTCAGTCGGAAGAAGGCGTGATGTTCCAGGGCGCACTTCCAGAGGTGCTTGCAGGCCTTGGGGTGATCCAGGCGGAAGACAAAGGTGTGCTCCTGTTCTTTGCCCTATTGCAGGAACAAACACACTTGCGGAAGACATTCAAATAATAAATAATAAATAATAAATAATAACAATCCTCGATACAGCGCCTTTCACGTCGGGAGGACACTCGGTTGTTCGTCGATCGCTGAATAATTGCTCCAAAAAAAATAATAATAATAATAATAATGCGGTCACTTAATCCACGCCTGTTTGTGGGACGCTGCTGTGCGCGATGGCCCCCCCCCCCCCCCCCCCCCCGCGTTTCGCCCACAAATTCACGGTCACTACACGTCACAGAGTATCCTGCGAAGCGCTTTGAGACGTCACTGTTAATGAAATAAATAACAAAACGTCGCCGGCCCTATAGTTGTGAGTTGAAGGCAAAATGTTGCTCAAAGTGGAGTGAGTTGATAAAAGAGATTTGGCTTCACCAACAAGAGTCAAATTATTAAGAACATTTCTACAGTTCCCCCTTCTCTCTCCCTCTCTCCCTCCCTCTCACTCCTCTCTTTCTGAGCATCGATACACTCCAGTAATTTTCCAGCCACACGGCTCGAGACTAGAATTCCTCAGCAGCGAGGGAGGTTACAGGAGAAATATGTCCGAGGCCTGAAGTCATCCGTCAGATAACGAGGAGAGATGTTGAGAGAAGGAGATTCATGCGGAGATGTTGTCCGAGCCAGTTCAAATGTTGCTTTCTCTTTCCTCTTTTTTAAAAAAAAAAGAGACGAAACAAACAGATGGTGGTGAGAACGAAAGGAAAAGAGCTGCTCCTTTGGGTAAATTGCACCGCCCGGCATGAAAGATTCTAGACCCGCGGGTCCCTTGGGTCGAATACCTGTCTGGGCTCACGTTAGCCGTGTGTTCAGCCAGGCCCACAGTTACCTAATCGACTTCAACCTCCGAGGTCTAAAGATGGGAGGGAATGAGGAATCACCTAAACTGTGTGTCAGTCTGGCACAGTGGTAGCCTTCTCGCCTCCGAGTCACAAGCTTGTGGATTGAATCCCACACGTAATCTAAGATGACGCTCCAATGCAGTTCTCGGGAGGTGGGAGGGGGAGATGTGGGGGGTGGGGTAATGGGGTGTTCCATTGTCGGGAGACGCCGTCGGAGACGTTAAAGATCCCGCGGCGCTGTTCGAAAAGGGAAGGGAGTTTCTCTCTCGCTCTCTCTCGCTCCCGGTGTCATATTCCCCCCAAATAAAATTGGTCACTTCAATCCACGACTGTTTGTGGGGCCGCAGCTGTGCGCAATTGGCTGCCGGGTTTCGCCCAGAAAATACACAAGTCACTACACTTTACAGTATATTCTACGAAGCGCTTCGAGACGTCCCAATGACATGATAAGGCGCTATATCAAATGTAAGGATTGTTATCATTGTTATTAAGGGACACACCCTATTAAGAAAGACCTCTCACTGATTCGGCTATGCTGAAGGAACATTGCCAAATGTCCCGTGGCTTTTGCGCTGTTCAAATCCACGGCAACTGGGAAATCACCAACAAACCCGGAGACACTAATACCTCAGGTTGCCGCTCCCAGTGACACTGTCAGAACAGTTTCCATTGCCTGTACGAGTCTTTACAGGGCAAGAGCTTCCACAAAGCTTTCACGAGGTGCCAAGTTTCGAACCGCCAGGGACAAGAACGAAACCTAAAGTCCAAAAATCTATTTTATCTGTCGGCCAGAACGCTGTGGGAGAGAAACTCTCTTCATTTCTTTTCGCTTAGTGCCTCGGCCTCAATCAACAATCCACCCAAATAGATTTCGAAACCTGACCCAAATTTCGCCCACAAAATACACAGTCAATTCACTTCGCAGTGTGAATCAGTGAAGCGCTTTGCGACGTCTCGAAGCCGCGATATCAACTAATACTTGCACTGATATAGCGCCTTATCAAGTCTTCGAGGCTTACTGGTAGATAAATAAGAGGCCTGTGGAGTACTTAGGAAACTAGCTTGAGGTTTCGTCTTGGCTGGGAATCGAAACCAGGTGCTCTCGCCCGTGAGGCGAGGGCTCAAACCACTGAGGCTGCAGCGCAGCACTCAACTAATTTGCCAAAGTGAACTGCTAGCGTCCGAAGGAGACTTGCAGAATCTACGTACAAGGCGCTGCCTCTTTGCAGAGCAGCTGAGAATGCTGCAAAACCACAAGCTCCCTTTATTCCTCTGGAAAAACGAGCTCCACAAAGAACTGGCGCCTTCAGGGTTTCACACGACACCACATCCAAAAGTGCAGGTCTCCCCCGAACGTGTCCTGTCCTGTGTTGGTTTCGCTTAGCGTTCAGCGTTCAGTGATTCAGCTGCTCCCTGAAGCAACAATCTTTTGTCTAACGCTGCAGTCAAACCAGGAGCTGAAATCCTACTGAAACTCCAGTAAGAATCCTTGCATTCGATATAAAATAATAATAATAATAGTCCTTGCATTTGATATAGCGCTTTTCACGTCCTCTCGACGTCTCAAAGCGCTTCACAGACTATGCTGTAAAGTGAATGGACTGGATATTTGTGGGCGAAACCCGGCAGCCAATTGCGCACAGCAGCGTCCCCACAAACAGTCGTGGATTAAGTGAACAAATTATTATTCTTTTTTTGAAGGGATTATTACCCCCGGAACAGCCATCCGCCAATCGACTAACAACCGGGTTCCTACTTACTGCCGAGTAAACAGAGGCGCGTGGAGTTTTGTCTAAGGTTTTGTCCCGCCTGGAAATCAAACCGGGGTCCTTTCGCTTGCGAGGCGACTGCTGCAACCACTGCGCTACAGGACTCTACCAGTCCTGGTGCACTCTACTGGTGGTTAAGAAACCACCCCTCTGTTCAAATAGCGTCACGCAATTTTATCGTCTGCACAAAGAGGCAGTTTAACCTCTGCACGAGCGACGGCACCTCCGACAGTCCAGCGAACCCGGGCGGTAAGGGACGTGTCGTTTCTTTTGTCAGGGTTTTCGTGTTACCCGGTGGTACGACGCTGAAAAATGATGTCCTCCACTAAAGCGGTCAGCCAACACTCAAAACGCTCAAGCCCAGGCTCACAAGTTGGGAGCTTTAACAAGGGGCCCTGTGCCAAAAAAGTTAACTGATGCATCTGAGAACCACGGTCTATTAATCAGTGTCTTCAAGAGAAAAACAGGAGGTCCTGTTGACCCAAGCAAGGATTACTAATAAGAATACGCATAAATACCCAATCCACGGCTGTTTGGGGGACAGCTGAATGCCGCGTTTCGCCCACAAGACGCGCAGTCACTCCACTTTACAGTACATCTATTCTGCGCTTCGAGACGTCTCGACGACGTGATCAGGCGCTGTATCAAATGCCAGGATTCTCGTTGCTTTTTTGAGGCAGGACTTTTCATGTCGGGAGGACGTCTCAAAGGGCTTCACAGGATTTTTACTGCAAAGCGTAGTGTTGTATGCGTTTTTTTAAGGCAAAAACGGGAGCCGATTCGCCCACAGCAAAGTGCCACAGCAGCCATGCGGTGAATAACCGATTTCAACTGGGGAGGGGGGGGGCGGAGGGGTGGGGTGGGCAGAAGTGATTACTCGGGACAAATGGGAGAACATTTCTTCTTCTTGCATACAGCGCAGTGATATCTTTAACGTCCACCTGAACAGGAACAGATGGGACCTCAGTTTAATGTCTGATCTGAAGGGTGGCACCTCCGAACAATACAGTGCTCCCCCTACACAGCACTGGGGAGTCAGTCTAAACTATGGGAGCTCAAAGGACTGATTGGGGGATTGAACCCACAACCTTCGGACTCTCTGGCGAGAGCCCCAGTGACCGAGCCAGACTAACACTGTGTTTTTTGACGTCTTGAAGAACTGAGGGAGATGGGGCTGAAGATTAACACCATCGCCAATCTTCCGTCACTGGGTAAGAATTGATGCTAATCCATGCAAAGGTCACCCCCATTCCCCACCCCCCGGAAAAGCTTTACCTTACCTGCTCATCGTCCTCCACGACCACCAGTGTTAGTTTGCTCTTCTTGAACTCCAGTCTGGTGATTTTGGGCCTTAAAAGGAATTTTTTTTTAAAACAAACAGAGGAAAATCAGGCAGAGAAATATAATCCTCGCTCACAGCTCTCCTCAAACATGCACGGCCACTGGGCTTTAGAATGCCTCTTACGTCAGGAGGACGTCTCACAAAGCTTTTCACAGGATTATACAATACGATAATAACCCTGGCATTTGATGCAGCACCTTATCACGTCTTTGAGACGTCTCAAAGCGCTCCACAGGATGCACTGCAAAGTGAATCGACTGCATCATGTGTGGGAGAAACACGGCAGCCAATTGCGCACAGCAGCGTCCCCGCAAACATCCGTGGATTGAGCGACCAATTTACTATTAAGGATTCTCCGTCAAGGGTCGTGCATTGTGTATTTTTGTTGGTGAACACGGCAGCCCAGCGTGCGCTAGGCATTGGGTTCCCACGCCATTCACGAAACACTTCAGCTTTGCTCTCGCGTGGTTTAATTCTTGCTTTTGAACCCAACACTTAGACTCCGTGCAGCAGCCAAAAGTTTGTTTTATAGGTAACTGAGTGCACATCTGAGACAAACAAAGTCCAAACCAATGCTACAATCTGTGCTATGCACCGCTAGGAATTTGGTGACTAGACCTCAGTCGCCACAGTTAAAGGCTTGAAGTGTGATAGGGGAAGGGGCAACAACGGCAAACAACAACTTGGGTCCATTACACAGGGTGAGGGGTCTCGTAGCCCTTCACAGAGGCCGAGCCGTAGGGAGGGGGTTAGGTTTGAAGACGAAGGCCTTCTGGCGCGACCTAAAGACGGGCAAGGAGGGGGAAAAGCAGGGAATTTGGGGCAGGGAGTTCCAGAGGGAGGGGGGATCGGGCAGTGGCTGAAAGCACGGCCACCGATGGTGCAGTGGAAGGGACGAGGGGCAAGCAAGAGGCCAGGGCCAGCCGAGCGAAAGCGGGGGCCAGTGGAGTGGGGGGTAAGCAGGTTGCAGAGGTAGGGAGGTGCCGGGGCGTGAAGGGCTTTTATACACGAGAGGGGCGGAGGGGTGAGGAGAATGAACCAACTTACCAGAAGAACAGTCCGATCTTCGTTTCTCCTTCGAACACCAGCACCCCCGTGGGGGTCAGACCCAGACTGTACTCATTTCCATCTCTTCCCTGGTTATTCAAAGAGGAGAAAAAAACTAACACGCCGTGGCTTTAGAGGAACCGAATCCCCTTAAGTTGCCTCGTGCAAATAACAGTAACTGATAGCAATCCTTACATTGGATCTGGCGCCGCATCGCACCGTCCAAAACTCTCAAAGAGCTTCACAGGATTTTTTTTTTTAAAAAATGGGAAGCGTAGTGACCGTACATAACGCAGCAGCCAATTTTGCGCACAGCAACGTCCCACAAACAGCCGGAAGCGAGTGAACAATTTTACTCGGGGGACTGTTGGTCAGGACACCGGGAGAGAGAGAGAAGCTCCCTTCTCTTTTCAACTAGTGATCTTTCAAGCTAACCTAAACAGGCAGATTGGATCTTGGTCTAAACCTTCACCCAAAGGACGGCGCAACAATAAATGATGCTTACACAGCGACTTTTATGTCACAAGGCAACTGATGGTCAAGGGTTTGCACCCCAGATGGGGGTTGGAATCAGGAGGGGTGGAGGACAGGGAGGTTGGGGGGGTAGGAGGGTGTCAGAAGGTGCGGTCAAAGAAGAGGGTCATGAGATGGATCTTGAAGGAGGCAAGGGAGGGAGGGAGGGAGGGAGGCGGAGGGACTGTGGGATGGAGCTCCAAAGGGGTGGGATCAGAATGGCTGCAGGTGGGGCAGGCGGGGCAGATCGGGGGAACACGGAACAGGCCAGAGTCCGCCGAGGTGGGGAGTGGACAGGTCGGTATGGTAACACCTCCCAACAACGCAACTGAGGTTCAATCAACGCTACCCTGGAGAGTGAGACTAGACAATGAGCTCAAAGCCCCGACGTTGGGCACGAACCCACAACCTTCTGACCAGGAGAGGTGAGGAGATCACTATTAGTATCCTGAATGGTGTCAAGGTTTGCCCCCCCGGCCTTACTTTGACCATGTGCATGTCCACTCCATACATCTCCAGCCACTTGGCTTTGTTCAGATAGTTAATTTCCGCCTGGGATGGAGTTTGCCCCCTGCGGGAAGAAACGAAGAGGATTTGACCCCCGAGTTCACCCGCCGTCACGGAAAGATTCTCATTACGTTCAGCCATTCAGGGTTTTTTGTTGCGTGGGGTGGGGGGGGAAGGGGTCAGGCGGGTGTCTGACACACCCGGAAACCCATCACCGTCCTTAAGAGCGTCCAAACCCAACTGAAACTCCAAACCAAACTGCGCCAGTCTGTTCCACTCCCCATCCTCCTCCTCCTCTCCCCATTCCTCTCCCTGTCCATCCCCCTCTCTCCCCCCACCCCACCCCACCCCACCCCCCGCCCCCCCACCCTCTCTCGGAGAAAATAGTTTTGGGTAACGCCGGCCACAGTACCTGCATTCTTTCCACTTCTCAAAGATGGCGAGTTCCATCTCCTCTGTCTGACTTGGTACAAACCGGAATTCCGACACCAGGTCAGGGCTGAACTCTGATGGGTCACTGTCACCCAATTCAGCTGCAAACGGAGAGAGAGAGAGAGAGAGAGAGAGAGAAAGAGGGAGCGAAAGAGAGAGAGAGAGAGAGAGAAGGGGGTGGGGGGGAGAAGAGAGATTCAATGGCCGGAAGACTACCACCCAACTTGAATGTAGAGGCAGAGTGGTCCAACTGGTGCCCGGAGATGATTTCATTCAGCTCTCTTTCGACCCACACCACCCCCATCACTCGCACCCACCCCCCCATCTCTGTCTTTCTTTCTTCCTCTGTCTCTCTCTCTCTTCCTCCCCATCTCTCTCTCTCTCTCTCTTCCCCCATCTCATCTCTCTCTTCTCCCTCGTCTCTCTCTCTCTCTCTCCCCCCCATTTATCTCTCTCTCTTTCCTCCCCCCATCTACTTTTTCCACCTCCTCCGTCTCAAAGCCCTTCACAGAATCTATTGCGAATCTATTTGTGGGCAAAACGCGGCAGCCAATTGCGCACAGCAGCGTCCCCACAAACAGTCATATACATTGAGTGACCAAATTATTATTATTATTATTATTATTTTTTTGGTGGGATTATTATCCCAGGAGAGCCATCCGCCAATCGACTAACAACCCGGTTCCTACTTACTGCCGGGTAAACAGAGGCTTGTGCTTGTGTGGAGTGAGGAAAACTTGCCCGAGGTTTCACCCTGCCCTGGGAATCGAACCCGGGTCCTCTCGCGTGCGAGGCGGGGGCTCTAACCGACACGCTACAGGGCTCGTAAAGAACACGGAAGACACATCACCGTACAGCAGGCAATCTGGAACAAGGTCTTACCTTGTAACGCGTAAGCTGCCAGCTGCACTGACGTGTCGAACGGACATTCTAACCTGGGGACGTTGAAAGAGACAGAAGTCGGGGGGGACACGAGAAAGGATTAACAATTCTTTTTTTTTTTACAGTCGCAGCGTTGCTCTGTCCAAAACGTCGCTGCTTGCGGGTAATTTATTGACCCTACGAGGCAGGCTTCCCGAGCCTCGACCAGCCAATGTTAATAATAATAATAATAATAATAATCCTTGCATTCGATGTTGCGACGTCTCAAAGCGCTTCACAGGATACACCGCAAAGTGGAGCGGAGCGACTGACTGTCTCCTTTTGGGGCGAAACGCGGCAGCCAATTTGCTCACAGCAACCCACCGTGGAGTGAGTGAACAGTTTTATCTGAGGGATTCTCGGCCAGGACAGCGGGACCTCAGTTTAACGTCTCAAACCGGCAGCGCTCTCGACTCCGAGTCAGAGGGTTGTGGGTTCAAGCCCCCCCCCAACCCCCAACCAAAGCAATGCTGCACTATCGGAGATTGCCAGACTCACGCGGGTTTATTTTAAAATAATTTATACTTACTTGCCGCTCAGGATATCCTGTTTCAGCTGCAGGACAAACAAATACCTGGGAAGAACAAGTCAAGATTGAACGGATCGCGCAGGAAAAAAAAAAAAACAGAAGGAGAACAAAGACGGAATCGTAAAACTGACGCGGGTTTGATATCCCCCGACCGGTGTTGTTTGCAATCTATTTCAAAGCCTGGTTTCCTTTTGCAGGCCAGAAAAAATTACTAACGTTTACTCCCTGCCCCCCCCCCACCCCCCCACCCCTTCCCCCTTCCTCCACCCAACCCCTCGACGCGGGACTCGAACACTTGATGAGCGAAGCTCTGAGCCGCAGCTCTGCGATGGAAGCCGAACTTACCTGGTTAGCTCTTCGTGAAGGTTGTTAGGTTCGGAGGAGTAAAACTTAACCCGCAAGTGAAGGCAGTACGGTGGGCCAACTAGTGAGGAAAGCAAGAGGGAGAATGTACCCAAATCTCTTCCCAAGTCATTTCGCCCACAACATATACACAGTCACTCCGCTTTACAGTAGCTCCTGCGAAGCGCTTTGAGATGGCCACAAACATTTCTGCCCCAAAACATCTGCACGATAAGGTGCTATAATAATATTATTAATAATAATGTCTCAGTCACCCCCCCACCCCCCGCCCTCACCCCCAACCTCCCTGCCCTCCAATCCTCCTGATCCCAACCCCCGGCTCAGGGGCAAAATCCTCGACTGTCCAGGGGCTGGAGACGTCCTCTCGACGTGAAAGGTTGTGGTGTAAACGTAATTTGTTGTTGGTGTCTCGATAACTTGATAAGGAGCTTTATCAAACGCAAGGATTTCTTTCAAGTTACAGCAACAACAATAACAAAATTACATTTGTATAGTGCCTTTCACGTCGGGAGAACACGTCAAGAGAGTTTAGATAGATTTCTGTTCGGAGATAATATCTCGGGATACAGTGTATACTTTGGGACATGACTGGCGACTGCCAGGACGGTGGAAGACAAACTGGATGGACCTTGGTCCTTCTTTCGTCCAGAAAATTCTTATGTCGCTTTTAGGAATGCGCAGATCGGGGGCCCAGGAAAACAACTTACTTTTGACTTGTTTCTTGATGCTTTTGGTGACATCCAACCAATGCTGCAACAGAGAACAAGTCAATGTCACACACACACACACACATTACCCCTTCCTCCCCTCTACTCAGCAAACTCAGGCCTAACGCCTGTTCTTTCCCACCACCATCAGCGGCCAAGCCTTCAGTCACTAAAGCCCCCAACCCTCTCAAACTCCCTCCCGAAGCGAGAAGACTTGGGTTCGATTCCCAAGTCGGACGGGTCAAACATTAGGCAAGTTTCCTTTCTCCACACACGTCTGTTTACCTAGGAGTAAAATAGGAGCCCGGTTGTTAGTCGTTTGGTGGATTGCTTTCCGGGGGTAATAATCCCTCCGAAAAAAATGTTGGTCACTCAAATCCAATCCGTCTTCAAAAGCCTAATTTTGAAAGGTTTCTTCTCCTGTCACAGCACCTACGGCCGCTCTCTTCTTCCCTTCCACCTTTGGCAAAAAGTATACCCTAAAAATAAAATCCACAAGTGCAGTACTCCTATTTAAATTGAGCCGAGATTCAAACTTCTCCGAGCGTCCGAACGTTTCTTTTCCGCTCAGAGGAGTCTGTAGTTTCTGTTTTACTATAGTGTGAATGGCAGAAAAAAAAATCCCAGATCTTCGATCAGTCCCTTAAAGTGCTTCGGGAACCCTGTGACCTCGATTAGGTTATTCATTTATCGAGCGTTGGGTAGATTTTTATTTGCTTAAAGTTTTGGTGGAAAGTTTTGACAGCTCGTGACCAGCTGTTTGTTTGCCAATCGACTAAAAAAACAGGTTCCGACTGACCGCTCGGAAAACAGAGACATGTGGAGAAAGGAAACTTGCCTAAGGTTTCATCCCGCTCGGGAATGGAACCTGGGTCCTCTCGTCTTAGGGACGTTCCTCTGGCTCCGGTCTGCTCCACATCCCCCGCCCCAACCGCCCTACCATCGGTGGTCGGGCCTTCAGCCTCTCAGCCCCGAGGCTCTGGAACTCCATCCCCAGTGCCTTCGCCGCTTCCTCCCTTTCCTCCTTCAAGGCCGGTCTCAAGACCTTTCTCTTTGACCTTCAGCCTTCAGCTCCCCTCTCGACTCTCTACCCCCTCCTCGCTCCCTCCTTTCCCTCCCCTCACCCTGACCATTACCCCCCACTGCTCGGGTCCCAACCCAACTGTCCAGCGCCTCGGGACGTCCTCCCGACGTGAAAGACGCTCTATAAATGGAATCTTGTTGTTGTTGTGGAGGGGGTGTTGAGGGGTGACGGCTCAGCCGCTGATGGTGGTGGGAAAGCACAGTTTGAACGTTTGCTGAGATGAGAAACGACGCATAGCTTCTCGAAAGGCTGAGATATATGAAGACCGAACGAGATTTATTGACAGCAGAATCGGAGCACCTGACAGCACAGATGGAGGCCATTCGACCCATCACTGAAACAGGCTATCCAACGCGTCCCACTCCCCCGGTCTTCCCCCGGAGCCCTCCTCACGTGGGGGGGGGGGGGAAGAGAATCAAAGATGTTACAGTGAATCGAGTCAAGAATTTGTGTGTTTGAGTGTGTGAGTGTGTGTGTGTTTGAGTGTGTGTGTGTGTGTTTGAGTGCGTGTGTGTATGAGTGTGTGTGTGTCTGAGTGTGTTTGAGTGTGTATGTGAGTGTGTGTGAGTGTGTGTGTGTTTGAGTGTGTGTGTGTGAGTGTATGTGAGTGTGTGTGTGAGTGTGTGTGTGAGTGTATGTGAGTGTGTATGTGTGAATGTGAGTGTGTGTGTGTGAATGTGTGTGTGAGTGTATGTGAGTGTGTATGTGTGAATGTGAGTGTGTGTGTGTCTTTGAGTGTATGTGAGTGTGTGTGTATGTGTGAGTGTGTGTGAGTGTGTATGTGAGTGTGTGTGTGTGTGAGTGTGTGTGTGTGTGTGTGAGGGTGGGTGTGTGAGTTTGTGTGAGTGTGAGTGTGTGTCTGTGAGTGAGTGTGTGTGAGTGTGTGTGTGTGAGTGTGTGTGAGTGTGTGTATGTGTGTGAGTGAGTGTGTGTGAGTGAGTGTGTGTGTCAATGTGAGTGAGTGTGTGTGTGAGTGTGTGTGTGAGTGTGAGTGAGTGTGTGAGTGTGTGTGAGTGAGTGAGTGTGTGTGTGTGTGTGTGTGAGTGAGTGTGTGTGTGAGTGAGTGAGTGTGTGTGTGAGTGAGTGAGTGTGTGTGAATGTGAGTGTGTGTGTGTGTGTGAATGTGAGGGTGTGTGTGTGTGAGTGAGTGAGTGTGTGTGTGAGTGAGTGAGTGTGTGTGTGAGTGAGTGAGTGTGTGTGAATGTGAGTGTGTGTGTGTGTGTGAATGTGAGGGTGTGTGTGTGTGAGTGAGTGAGTGTGCGTTTATGGTGGAAAACGTTCAAGAACTGTCAATTTAAATTAAGAACACAACATTCCACTTGAGGGCTCTGTGATATTTAACCTCAACTCCACTTGTCGGGTGGAGAGAGAGGGACTTTCAGCACAAATGCAAACTCCCTCTCTCCCCCTCTCCCCCCCCACCCTCCTCCGCAACCTCCCTCCCAAACACACCCCCCCCAACCCCGCGCCCCCCCCAGTCCTTCCTTTTCCCCTCCTCTCCCGCCTGCTTCTTATCACCCCCATCCCTCCACATTCCTGCTCTCGCCTCAGGCACCGATACACAACGAATCATGGCCCGAAACCAAAACGAACCTTCCGGCCATTACCCTGAACCAAAAGATCCTCTCGGCCCGATTTAAGCCGAAGAAAACCGGCGTCAGACGTCACGAGGCCCTTCTGACAAAACGGGACCTTTGGACGACGGGAGTCGAAGCGACAAAAAAACAAAATGACGTTTCCACAGCGCCTTTCACACCAGGAAGGTGACCCAAGGCGGGGTGGGGAGTCAGGGAGTCGCAACTGAGCCGGGGGAGGGGGGGGGGGGTTGGGGGTTGGGATCAGGAGGGGTGGAGGGCGGGGAGGGCAGGGTAAGGGATAGGGAGGGTGCCCGAAGGCACGGTCGAAGAGGAGGGTGTTGAGACGGATCTTGGAAGGAGCCGTCATCCGAAGGAGTCTTTGGTCGGTAGATGACTATGTACCGATTCTGTCCTCCAGAAACGAGGTCCCGTCTGTCTGTTCAGGTGGACGTTAAAGATCCCGCGGAGCTATGTAAGAAGAGTGTCACGGCCGACAATCCCCCGGGTAAAACCGGACACTTGCTTCTCAGCTTTGGACGCGACTTGTCAAGCGACTGCCAGGACGGTGGAAGGCCAACTGGATGAGCCTTCTTTCTCTCCTGGCTGTTTGTGGCACGTGAACTTGGGGGTGTGGAGCAGAGGGTGGGGGAGGGGGGGATGGAGAGCAGAAAGATGACCGAAAGAGATCAAAGAGATAGGTCTTGAGTCGGACCTTAAACGAGGGGAGGGAGCGAGCGACCGATCGAGCTGGAGATCCGGAGAGCAGGGAAATGCCAACTGAAAAAAAACGAGCGAAACGGAATCCATCTTCTCCTCAAAAATAAAAGGTAAAGACAGGTTCCTTCAGCGAGTGTCGGATTTGAAAGAGCCCTCGAACTCGTCCCACCGCCCCGCTCTCGCCCCCGTGGCCCTGCAAACGTTGCCTTTTCAAGCTTGGAAGGTGCCTTACCGCGACTTGTGCAGAATCCATGAACCGGAGACCAAAGTAGTCTTTTTCGATGATATCCAGGTGGTACATGATTTGCTCGAAAATCTCCACTCCCTTGGCTTTTTTCTGAAAGGCAATGAGAGAAACGTGAGCGCAGTTCTATCAAAATGCGCCGGTCCGTTTACAGTGGGGGGATGCCCGTACATCCCCCATTTGAGTTCAAGTTCCTTGTCCTCACCTTAAAAGCCCTCAATGCTCCTCCCTACCTCTCTGACCTACTAAAAACTCGCTAACCTGTCCGCAGGTCACTAGCCTTGAGCCTTGCCCCCATCCTCTGCATGGAACTCCATCCCTGAGCCCCTCCGCCTCGCCTCCTCCAAAGCCCGTCTCAAGAGCTTTCTCTTCGACCGCGCCTTCGGTCACCTTCCCTCCCCAACCCAACCCCATCGCCCTCTACCGCTCTCCGATCCCAACCCGCAGCTCGGGTGCAAACGCCCCACTGTCCAGCGCCTTGGGACGTCCGTCGTCGTCGTCGTTGGGGGCAATGCCCAAATGAGTTGCGGGGGCCAAACGTGCCCTGTCTTGTGGTCAGCCACAAACAGAGCGAGAACAGTAAAGTTCTAAAACAGATCCAACTCCTCAGAGAAACACAGCCATTTAATCCAACGGCCCTCTCAACCCCTATTCGAGGTCAGACAAACCCGTTAAGGAATCCTGTGGGAGTTACTGGCCCGCCAAACGTTCGAACGGAACTGATCTCGACTTAAGAAGGTGGGGAAAAGCTTAGCGCCCTGGTTGACAAGCTACTCGAACCCTGGAAAAGTCCCTCAACTGGTCACTAAGGCTGCGGAAATTCAAACGAAAGTCAACCAAGCAAGGACACAAGTTAATTAGCTTCCCAGAGAGTAAATCGTCCCACTCTGGATTGGATTTAATATAAAAGAATAGCAAAATATTCAAAGCCCGTACGTGTTGCGTACAGTAGCCATTTCCTGTGCTGGATTGAGTGGGGGTTGGGGGTGCGGGGGGGTGGGGGGGGGGGGGGGCGTTGGATTGATGGAGGTGCCGTCCTTTGGATGAGATGTTGTGGATTGAGTGACCACATTTTTATTATTTTTTTCTTTTAAAATGGATTATTACACCCCCCCCTCCCACCCCCACCCCACCACCACCCGAAAGCAATCCGCCAATTGTGTTGGGGAGAGAACGGGAGGAAGAGAGGGTAATGTGTTATAATAATAATAATAATAATCTTCGCATTTGATAAGGGCCCCTTTTTCGCGACTCAAAGCGCTTCGTAGAATGGACTGGAAGGTGGACCGAATTTCGCCCATTTTGTGAGCAAGAAAGAGAGAGAAGGGGAAAATGAGAGAGAGAGAGAGAGCGCGCGTGGTGTACAGTGAAATGACCGTATATTTTGCGGGCGAAAGGAAAATGTTCAGCTTGGTTGAACGCTCAAAGGCCACTCATGTTTGTCTGGTTGGTGTGCAGCGAACTTGATTAAGCTGCTGACGTCGACACAAAAGCTGCATTGTGTTTACTCCATAATGAACATTCATGGCTTTCAGACAAAAATCACTAAAGCCCCCAGGGGTTTGCACCGATACATAAGTATTATATTTACATCTGTATGTGTAGATGATTTATATGTATTTAATATACGTAGATAACATGTATGTATTTAGTACATGCAGATAACATGTATATATTTAATATATGTAAATATAATGGTTGTAATACACTATATATTGTACAATTATACATCATAATGTATTATATATTATTTAAATATGAATATTATACCATAGTTATTATTATTTTAATATACACACCCAAAATTGCACCTCTTCCCAGCTACTGCCCCCCCAAAAAAATAATACAAGCTTAAACTCAGCCACACGCCACTCAGTTTACAGCACTAAAGAAACTAATCTCGTGATTTAATCAAACTATTTCATTTCATAATAGCTCAGCGAACAATATCGATCGACGATATCGATTCGTCGCAATAGTAAGGGATTTGCGGCGCTCGGAGGCCGATGAGGAGATGGTACAATGGGATGGACTCGGAACGCTCTGCTCGGTACAAATGAGGTCAAAAGGATCGAGGCTTAGCGTCTCGTGTTTCGGAGACAGTCTCAAATCCTAACACATCGGAAACAACAACAACAACAACAGTAACAAATTACATCTGCATGGCTCTCTTTCACGTCGCGCGGACGTCCCAAGGCGCTGGGCAGTCAAGGGCATGCACCCAAGCCGGGGGTTGGGATCAGGAGGAGTGGAGGGCAGGGATAGGAGGGTAGAGGAAGATCTTAGAAGAGGAAGGTCTTGAAACAATCCTCGAAGGAGACGGGGGAGGTGGCGGCGGCGGGGGGGGGGGTGTTGGGGGGGAGGAAGCTGTGGCAAATGGTTTCCGAACCCACTGCGGCAACTCTGTGCTGTTAAAAAAAAAAGAGGGGGTCGCGGGTTCAACTCAGTGGAGCTGCGATGAGACACAGCTCAGGAGCACCTCCGAGGCGAGGAATGGTGACCTAGAGACGGGGATGGAATGTAAACGGACTGATAGGGGCTGGCGTTCGAAACAGGAGGAAGGCAAAAACCAGGGCAGAGTTGGGAAATGAATCACTCTGTCAGAGAAAGAAGAGAGAGGATCACTTCATTCAGAAAAAACGCCCGTTTCAAATATGCTTGACAATAAATATATATATAATATAATATATATATACTTTCTCAGTTCCAGCCCCAAGCATTTGGAGTCCTGTAGCGTATTGGTGAGAGCGCTCGCCTCCAAGCGAGAGGACCTGGGTGCAATTGCCCCGCGGGCTAAACTTTAGGCAAGTTTCCTTACTCCACACCCACGCCTCTGTTTGCCGAGCAGTAAGTAGGAGTCCTGTAGCTCAGTGGTTAGAGCACTCGCTTTGCGAGCGAGAGACCTGAGTTCAATTCCAGGCAGAGGGCGAAACCTTGGGCAAGTTTCCTTACTCCACACAGAGCCTAATAATAATCCCTCCAAAACCAAAAACAATAATAAATTGGTCATTTTCAATCTACGACTGTTTGTGGGACATTGCTGTGCGCAATTGGCTGCCGCGTTCGCCCACAAATATACAGTCAATTCACTTTGCAGTGTGTTCTGTGAAGCGCTTTGGGACGTCCTCCCGACGTGAAAAGCGCTATATCAAATGCAAGGATTATTATATTATTATATTATTATTATTATTATAGGAATGTTAGTCGATCGAGAGGTCACTCTCTGGGGGCACTAATCCCTCCAAAAGAAAATACTGATAATAGTAATAATTCGGTCACTCAATCCACGACTGTTTGTGGGGAACTGCCGCCGCGTTTCGCCCGCAAACTGTTACAGTCAACTCGCTTTACAGTATATTCTGTGACGTGCTTTGAGACGTCTCGAAGTCGTGTTAAGGCGCTGTATCAAATGCGAGGATTAGATTGGAAAGAACGAGACGGGATGTGTGGTTACTTACTCCTTGATACCAGGAACAAAATATCCAGTGTTCTGACGGAACCCAATTCTAAGCTGAACCTGACGTTCCGAGTTATGAACCAGGACTTTACGAGGGCACCGAATTGCATCACAAATTACGACGACAACAGTCATCCTTTAATTTGACACAGAGGCCTTATCACGTCATTGAGACGTCTCAAAGCGCTTCACGGAACAAGACCGTGAAGTGAATCGACTGTATGTTTTTCGCGGGCGACACTCGGCAGCCAATTGCACGCAGCGGCGTCCCCACAAACAGCCGTGGGCTGAGCGGCCAAATGATCATTTATTTATATTTCTTGTTAAAGAAAAAGCAGGGAATAAACAGGCAAAGCTCCACTTCAAACAGAAGCACCTTGTTGCAGCACTTCACACAAATATTCCATTCAGCCCTTGATTTAAAGCGTTCCCACACACAGCCAAACAAAATAAAAATCCAGACGCACACACACGCACACACACACATACATAAATGTCTGGGGTTTCTACCTCTGTGTCTCTGGCTCAGTCCGTCCCTCCCTCTCTGTTCTGGTTTTTTTTTTCTTTACACGCAAACTTGTTCCAAACCTGCATGGAAATTCCCGTTTTGTTTCCTGTGCGGAGGGCAGGGTTGCACAAGCGTGGGAAAAAGGTGGGCCACACGGCGCTCAGCGGATAATGATAATTATAACAATCGGTGCATTCGATGCAGAGCTTTATCACGTCCTCAAGACGCCCTCAAAGCGCTTCGCGAAGTCTCTCTCTCTCTCTCTCTCTCTCTCTCTCTCTCTCCCGGTATCCTGGCCAACAATCCCACCAAATAAAACTGGTCGCTCGCCTCCACGACTGTTCGTGGGGGAGGCTGCCGCGAGTAAGTTGGCTGCCGCGTCTAAACCCACAAGATGCACAACCGAATCCGCTTTACGGTGCAGCCCGTGAAGCGCTTTGAGACGTCTCGGCGACGTGACGAGGCGCTGTGTCGGACGCAAAGGGTTACTATCATTAATATTATTATCATCATCATTTTACGTCTATATAACAAAACAACAGGAGAGAGAGAGAGAGAGAGAGAGAGAGAGAGAGAGAGAGAGAGAGAGAAAAAATCAGCTCAAGCGACTCAGTCATTAGGACAATTATCGTTTCATTAAGGAGAGAGTCAAATGCAACGTCGTCCCCTGCGAGGCATCTCCCTGCCCCTGGCCGAGAGGGTTTGATACCCAATCAACGCAATATTATTTATTATTATTCGAAAGGCAGGAAGGAATTCTTCACACTGACGTCTGCCTGCCCCGGTAATCTCTTGAAAAAAAAAACATCACATGCAATACTCCTCAAAGGGTCTCCAGAGGGATTAGCGTGTCAGCCCGATGTAGCGTCATGCCACGGACACGCTTAACAGGCCTGCCTCGCAGGAGAACGAGGAGCAGAGCACCGCCAACAAACGCTCGCGATGCCGCCACGAACGGACACTGCCACTCTCGCCGCGTTTACGAACTTGGATGCTTAAAGGTGATAATAATAATAATAATAACAATGCTAATAATCCTTGCATGTCGGTATACCGCCTTATCTCGTCTGCGAAAGGTCTCAAAGCGCTTCACGGGATAGACTGTAATGTGAGTCGACTGTGTATATT